AGATCAGAAACTCAACTCAAGCTGTATAAGTCGCTTAGAGAAGAGCGGCAACAGCGGCGAGGAGAGCAAGGGCGCTGACGGCCTGCTTGCCAGCGCTGCTGACAATGACGGGGACACAGTGGTCACCCTCGCAGCTGGAGCCGCTCTCGCCCTTGGATCCAGAGCCCTCGGAGCCGCTCTCGCCCTTGGAGCCGGAACCCTCGGAGCCACTCTCGCCCTTGGAGCCGGAACCCTCAGAGCCGGAGCTGCCCTTGGAGCCAGAGCCCTCAGAGCCGGAGCCACCGTTGCCTCCGTTTCCACCGTTACCTCCGTTTCCGCCATTGCCACCGTTACCGCCTTTACCGCCTTTACCGCCGTTGCCACCCTTGGAGCCACCACCGTTGGTAGGGCAGGTATCCTTGGTGCAGCTGGGGACCTCGGCCTCCTTGCACTCAGCGGGGGTACCCCAGGAGTTCTCCCAAGGCTTGTAGACGACATCACCGTGCTCGCAGACATCGCAGTCAGCGGGAACGAAGAAGTTCTTCTGGTTGTACCAGTCGTGGCACTCCTCAGGCTTGTAGACGGTGAGACCGTGGCAGCTGCCGTTGGAGCAGTACTTGGGGACGTACTGAGAGCCACCCTGGCAATCGCAAGCCTCAGAGATGTAGACGAGCTCACCGTCGCACTCATCACCAGGGTAAGAAACGAAGATGTAGACAACCTTGGAGCCGTTGTCGTTCTCGGGGTAGCACTTGCCGTTGGAGCAGACGTAGATGGCAGTGACGGTCTGGGTCTCAGTGGCAGTGGCATCGGAGATGGTGGTGGTGAAGGTGGTGGTCAGGGTAGACTGGTCAGTGACAGTAGCAGTGAGGACATCGGTGATGGTGACATCAGGGCCGTTGACAGCGACGTAGACAGTGAGGCGGATGGTGTTGGGGATAGCCTGGCGGGCCTGGATGCGGCTGCGGCGAGCAAGAGGAGCATCACCACCACAGAACTCAGAGTCGTCACCGGGGCACTCGATGTCACACTGGTCGGTGTCGACACGGCTGGTGTTGTCAGCGTCGATCTCGTCACCGCAGTAGCAGTCCTCATCGTGAACACCGAAGTAAGCACGGCCCTCGCAGAGGCTGGCGCAGAGGTTGAGGTCCATGGAGCCGGAAGACTGGGCAAGCTCAAAGGTAGGGAAGCCAGCGGTTGAGCCGACACAGCCAAACAGAACAAAGTCGCCGATGGAGCCGGGGAAGCCAGCAACAGATGTAGCAGAAGAAGTAGGAGCAGTGGTCTCAGTACCGGTAGGCTGGATAGTCTCGCCCTCAGAGTTGGTGGTAGCACCCTCGGAGTTGGTAGCAGCAGTCTCAGTCTCGGTGCCAGTCTGGGTGCCAGTAGGGAAGACAGTCTCGCCCTCGCTGTTGGTGGTGGCACCCTCAGAGTTGGTAGCAGCAGTCTCAGTCTCGGTACCAGTAGGCTCGATGGTCTCGCCCTCGGAGTTGGTAGTAGCGCCCTCGGAGTTGGTGTTGGTAGGCTCAGCAGTGCCAGTGGTGTCGGCGCCAGTAGTACCGCTGCCGTTGCCGCCACCGTTACCGGCACCAGGGTTGCTGGAACCAGGGGGGCCGACAGCAAGATCAGAGACTTCGAGGCGGGAAGAGGTAGCACCGCAAGACTGAACAAACTCGACATTGGGGGGGCTACCAGTGGAAGGGGTGCTATCAGAAGACTTGGAGCCAGAGCCGGTGGAGAGACCCTCAGAGAAGACGCTCACACCGTCAACAGTGACATCAAGGCTGCAGTCGGTCTCAGCACGCTTCTGGGTCTCAATGAGCTCGACGAGGATCTCGAAGAGAATGATGAACAAGTTTCCAGTGGGGAAGCTGCTGAAGATGTCGTCGGGAATACCAATGGAGAAGGAAGCAATGCCAAAGGGACCAGCGAGCAGGGAACTATCGGCTGATTAGAGTTTGGGACTAGGACGCGGGCCGTTTGGGAGTAGACTTACATAGCGATGCTTCCATCAGGGCGAGTGACGAACGACGCACCGGGTCCCAGGTTAGCACTGCCGAGATCGACAGGCTGAGCAGCCTCAGCAGAGCCGGTGGGGGCGACCTCAGAGGTGGTAGTAGCGGACTCAGTAGCAGGGATACTGGAGTTGGTGAATCGCTGACCCATGACGCCCGAGGCCGCAGCCAGGAGCAAACCGGTAGAGAAACGCATGATTAGGTAACTTTTTTGCTGTTGAGCGAATGTATTAAAGAGTGAATGAAAGAATGTGTTCTTTGTTTGTAAACGAATGGACCTGGTCCTCGATGGGAAGATTGGAAGTGAGGATGAGATGAGAATCTTCTGGACAAGAACACCAGCCTCTATATATACAGATTTGCACATCACATCAACAGTACCTATTTGCGCCATATCTTAGTTATTCACCCTTGGGGAATATTGGTCTCCTGCATGCAAACATTCCTCATACACGGTTGCTAGATCCGAAAGCATGCAAGGGCGATACCATCACTCCACCCGGTGTGGACCAAAAGCAGATGGTTGATGAAAATGTCTCACCAGCACAGGCACGATCAACCAGTCTGGACGATAATATTCCATTCTTCAAGGTTTTTGGCTAGCTATTTGCAGACTACTGCTCGAGCTACTTTTTTTTTGCTTTCGTATTTACGGAGTGTGCTTTTGGAGTTGAAGATATGGAAGCGGCCCCCTATGTCTCCCTTGATAAGGCAATTTCACCGACGAATTCCAGCAACGGTTTTCTGTACCTATTCAATAATAAAATAAGCAAAATCTTGGAGTTACCACCAAGTTTTACAGGCGTACGAAGCTTTTGTTGACCAGCCACACCAAGAGTCGTTGCCAAACCACCATAGCAATAAAGTTGTTACCGCACATATCTCCCCCAAGTGATAACAGAGACAAGCCAAGATTTGACAAGAAATGCAACAATACCTTAGTTTAAAGTCAAACAATCCTTTTTCCACTTATCACATTTCCCCATTAATGCCCGTGACAACAGCCTGTACTGAAAACCTCCTCATCTGGTGGCTTCAGCAACAAAATTTCAAAAGGTATGCTCTTGATCTGCGCGGCCCAGACACGGCGTAGGGCCAGAATCAGAATTGTCCAGTAGGGAGAAGAACGAGTGTCACTTTCCTTTCATTGAGACCAGTGGCGAAATCGACTGCACCCATCGCCGGACGAAGCCAGTGGACTGTCAATGTCTGAACCAGTGAGATCTCTGTGCCTTGCATGAGGTCGGACGCGTAAGTGGTAATTTACAGTGTTTCTCCCGCAATTGCTTAGCTATGTGGCTGGAAATTCTTGTGTGTGGTTGATGTTGCACTTTGATCCCGCCGTAAGCCCTTTTGGATGATTATGTTTGAATGGTTGCGGAGATATGGTGTGGTTCAGATTACCGGAAACAAGGAACCAATGCTGGGTCATTTGATCATGTCTTGATCTAGTGTGTTGTCTCCAACGATCGCTGAGTGGATGCGATGAGAGAGCTATCGATCAGATTGATAGCAAGATACTACAGTATCTTACAACGGTTCTTCGACGGATCATCATGCTAAACAAAACAACAGGCCCAAGCTTCATCATTGACTCCGGCTGGTGACATACATCCAGATCCCAATGTGCAGATTACATGGCATTGTATGTCACTGATGCAAGGGCAAATCGTCTTGCCCGTGGTTATTGACGGGAATCTACCCTACACTATTTCAAGAAAACTGCAAGAGTGACAGCGCTTATCCTTAGCGTTTGAACTAAACGGCAGCCCAGCTGAGCGCCGTTTGCGGTTCGACGTTTGGTGGAGCGTTGGAAAGCGTTGGGACTTGTTGTTGCTAGCGCGCCTAATCACGTCAATCACTTGATGTAAGGTTTGTTATCACGGTAATATTCGGTTCCGAAAGTTTATTGCACTGCGGAATTGAACCCAATAATGTGATATGATGATTGCTCGAGTGGTGATGCTTGGCACTGCCATTATTCATCCCCTCTAGGCGGCCGCTCAGCAACCAATTCGTATAGCAAACAGAGGAATGAGCAAAGAGTATGCAGTGAATTACCCGACATCGAACCCGCAAAATCCCCCTCCCTAACCCCAGTCCCCTCCAGCCTTGTAGGGTACCTAGCGCTGTACTCCCACGGAGATCAAACAAATCCGCAGTGAATATTCCCCTGCATCGACAGCCCTGGAGACGACATTTCTTGCGACCTTGCCAAGATGGAATGCAGAATTTGTGTCTCAGGAACAAGCTTTGGCTCCCGAGTCCGAGGCTGAGAAGGATAATTGGCGAAGAACAGAGATGTGAGACACTGCAAGGGTGTTGCCTGTGCTACCCCCTTTGTCGAGATGTTGCGATGGAATGTGAAGCGGCGAAGAAAGAGGGGGGGGCGGCCGAGCGATGATCTTTGGAATGGTGTTATGAGAGGTCTATGACGATGGGAATAATTGGATTTGATTTAGGGTGAGTACTGGAAGAATGCTGAAATAGGAGAAGGAGGCTCTAACACTTACTGAGTCATTGTTAGATTGCCTGGCCTTCGCTTGTTGCCAGTGTATTGATACAGCTAATACTGTTGCTAATCGCGACGAAATGAATATTGGTCAGTTGTTTTGTCGGACATTTTTGCAGTCCAAAAAAAAAAGCTACGAATAACCGTGTTATGATAATTAACATGACGCCTTCTAGCTCACCGGGGCAATAACTCGAAGTATCTGTTGAGCTGCTATGACTACTTGATCGAGATTGCTTCGAAATGTCGTGGTTACCCTGTACTCCAACTGGTGTGACATTGTCTTGGAAGCGCGGATATCCGGCAAAAGACTCGTGTCGATGACGGAAGTAAATCGCAATTCACTCTTCAAAACGATCCTCCAAATGAAGCATTTGTGGGCAAGATTACCTCCAAAAGCGGTGGTATGTTGTGAGCGTGAATCCTCGTATTTTCCTTTACCGACCCGTCTTCCCGGATCATCGCAAACGGCCTCGTGCAATTGACTTTTGGACCGTTTTCCTTGGCAAGCCATTTCCAGTCGACACATGGTTTACACATGATTTAATGACGTCGCACGACGTTACACGGCCTTCCATTCATCGATCACGATTAATTAAGTCCGTCCCTCGCTTATAAGTGGAGGCAGCGACGCTTGCACGAGTCACGATAATGGGGTAAACAAACTGGGGGAGCCATTTGTATATCAAGAGATCGACTGCCAATTAAAGTATACATTTCCATTTTCCAAACACATAAAACCAATTATGATATCCATCAATATTTTACGCACCGCCCAAATGCTAGATGCACGCAAACATTATTTGAACCGTTCCAAATTATCGACATAGAATGACCGAGCAAACATCTAATGGTAGCTTGAGCTGCTTACAGCTGGAAAGCACCAGCGGCCATGGATGAGAAGAGCAGAGCACCAATGGCAAGGCCAAGGGTGTTGATGCTAGACTTGGGAGCGAAGCCAGCAGCGGCGTTTCCACTCTCAGTAGAAGTCTCAGAGCTAGAAGAGCTAGTACCAGTGCTGGTAGAGGTACCAGAAGCAGTACCAGTAGAGCTCTTGTCATCATCATCCTTGTCATCGTCGCCGGAGATGACGCTAGCCTGAGCGGTAGCGGGGACGTCGGCGTCCTTTGTCTTTGTAGTCTTCTTGCTTCCGCTGCAGAAGACGTCGGCGTCGGGGGCGCCGTTGGAGAAGAGGCACTTTGCGAGCTCGCCGATGGTCTGGTCGAGGGCGACGCAGTAGAGGCCGCAGCCGTTGTAGTAGCTCACGATCTTGGCGTCACCGCAGCACTTCTGCATGATCTCGGTGTGGTTGTCCTTGAAGGGCATGGCGCAGGTGTTGTCCTGGTTGGGGGTGTCATAGAGGTTTGTGCAGGCCGTGGGGACGGCGCTGGCGGTGCTGAGAGTGGTGGAAGACATGATGACGGTTTGTGTTTAAAAAGTGTATTAAAACTTTCAAGATAGCGATTGTAGTTGAAGAAGGACGAAAAAGAATTAACGAATGTTGGTGATGGAGATGATGGAGGAACAAAAAAGTTACGCGTCGGCTGAGGGATGGGCTTAGCACGGGATGGGCAGACGGGTCAGTTTTTGTCTCTGCTAGGCTCGCATTAAGGGGTTAATCCGGGGTTCTTGGCCTATCAGCAGCGCCACTCCAAATTTAGCAGCATGAGCTAAGGCTCGTATCATGGCAAGGATGTGGAGGTGAGAGGATCCAGTTGCTAGGCAACTTGGGTAAGGATCAGAGGCAGGTTTTTTGAGGATGGACACTACGTAAGCGGAGGAAATCTTTGTGAAGACCTTCCGATGGAAAGTTATAGACGGAGTTGAGCTTGAAATAGTAGTAAAGCTTGTGACTCTGGTGATGGTAGACGGCTGAGGCAGCTGAAAATCGCAAATTGGTATGATGTAAGTGGACCACTTCCCGCTCTTGGCGTACGGAGATCAGATCAGTTCGGAAATTGGCTGTCAAGGCTGCATCCTGCACAGACGTTGGAAAAGTCAACTTGGAAGCCTGATGGAAGCCTGACAGTGTCTTTGACGTAACGCCATATTGAATACAGTGACATGCTTGGTGTAACCTTACCGAAGCATCGCGAAAGTTGAACCAAGAACCGGATAACTGATGGTGACCGAGGGAGCTATTGGAAGCGTGGAGATTGCGATCGCTTACCTTTCAAACATGGTGAAACTGCTAGCCTTCTATAAGCGATGCTTATATCATGTGACAATGGTGAACAGGATTGGCAGTACAGCCTGATCGATCTTTGGCTTTGCGAGTTATACTTCGATCAAGAAATATTATTGCATGCTTCGTTAGCTGTATGGTAATAGCTATGCATGGTCACATGCTCGAACCAGTAGACTAGTCAAGGATGCCTTATAGTCTGGATAAAATTCATTCTATGGATAGGTAGCAAACTCCACGAGTGTCATCTCGTTACTATAGCTGTGAGGAGGAACTGTATGATGCGACTTCTGTCATCGCCATTTCATCTGCTAGCATCTTCTCCTTCTCATCCGCCAACCAAGCAGGGTTTGTCTCAAATCTAGGATCCAGCCAAAAACAAGCTTCATCTCCATCTTTTAGCATCTTCCGAATAGGTTTCGCTCTGACATGTCCCCCGATATAAAACAGTGCCCAACGAACAGCACCAAAAACAGAGACAAAACTATAGAGCTGCTTGTAAATAGGATAAGTAGCGATGGTGACAAGTCCAATACGCATATCAGGACGGTGCCAACAGCTGATATAGTTGTAGAGAAGGGGAGGGAGACAAGCGACAAAGGCAAGACTGAAGAAGAAGATCCAGTATTCCTTGTGCGCGCCGAGAGCGACCAGGACGGGAATGCGGACCCAATCAATAACTAGACAGGCCAGAATGTAAAGGAAGAGACCCTTTTGCATAAGAATGCCCTGAATAGTTCGCTGACCGTTCATGCGAAACAGGTGACGCATTATCTTCCAGATCAGACTATGCCTTCCCATTTCCCATGACTTGATCCTCTGCTTGCACCAGTTCAGCCCCGGGCCAAGCACAGTCGCTGGAACTTCAGTCGCGAGCGTAACCTGGGCATCAAAAGCAATACCCTTGCCAAGACGCATGATAGAAAACCCAGCATTCGCGTCTTCCGCAATAAAATCCATAGGATGATATTTCGAAAGGAGCTCAACGAATACATCGCGATCAACAAACCACCCAGCGCCGTGAGGAAAGTTGACACCGCATGTACGATTCTCAGCGAGTTTGACAAGACCAGCCATGCGGTACTCGCAGTCTTGCCAAGAGACCATACCAAGGGGTGTGTTACCATCTGCATCGGTGCCTGCTAAGGGAAAAGCAACGGCTCTTAAGTGGTCGTTCATGAGATGAATAGGATGGCGATAGTTCTCTGGAAGAGAGACATCATCGTCTGTTGTCAAGATGTACTTGTAGTCCTTAGCTGCTAGGGAACCGACGAGTTGAGCTGCGTTCTTTGAACCGATGGGGGACCAGATGTAGACGAGGTCAGGGTGAAGATTCTTGAGCCAGTATCGGAAGGAGAGATCTTGTGGATATCGAGATCTACCGTTATCGATAATGAAGATGTCTTGGGGTCTGAAATGGGGATATGCGGATTCGATCACCTTTCGTAAGGCTTCGCGATCTGAGTTGTGACAGGGAATCACAAAGGCAGTTTCCCAAATCCCCGTAGTAGTCACCGCCACACCACGCTCCAGATCATCCGGACTCTTCTCGCTGATAACTCCCTCAGTAACGTGCGACGGAGTTGTCTTGGGCGGGTTATATGGCGGAACCCTCGCAATAGACAAGATTATAAGAAACATAAGTGGTTCAAGAGTAAGAACAATTACAAGAACAGGTAGCATGTAACTCCGAGTTTGAGCAATGGCCTTTCCCATCCAACCGGTAAACCAGTTCGATATAACAAGCGCAGCAACGCAAGACATGACGAAAGCAAGTGCGGCGCCTTTCTTGAGAGTCATGGGGTAGATATACTCTTTGGGGTTGATAAGCTCCCAGAGGGCATTGGGGGAGAACTGATTGTTCAGTGAGCTCCATAATCTTGTCCATAGTGATGGCTTTTTGGTAGACTGGGGAGATGATTCAGGGCGAAGAAGGTTTTTGGCAGGTCTCTCGTCGGACAAGCTGCTTAGAGATGTCTGTGAGGGAGAGGAAGGACCATAGATGCCAACTTTGCGGGCACTTCGGTCTGAGGATATGGCTGGCGGGGGGGTAGATATTGGACTGATGGAGGGACTTGATGGGGGAGTTGCAAAAGGGTTATCCAGAGAGAGGTTAGAAGGGCTAATGGGAAGTGCTGAACGAGTTTGATCGGGGTAAAGGTCTGGGACTGAAGAATCTAGCCTCGCGTGGCAGGGGAGAGACAGATCCTCACATGAAGGATCTTCATTACTCCAAAAAGGATTATTACTTTTAGCAGCCATCTAAACAAACAGAATTATTACGTATGACTGTAAAGAAGGTAGGCAAGGAGAGGGTAAAACTAGACAGAGAAAAGAGGAAGAAAAGAATAACTAGCGGAAAGAGAGTGACGTGACCGATTATTTACCCAAGAGCTTGAAGAACTTGTAAATTATTCCTACACCAAGACTACCTAATAACTAAACGAAGTAGAAAATATCCACCTCAGCGATATTTGTAAAAATTTCCAACAGCCTCATCTTCCCAGCAAAATCGTATGACGAGAACAATAAGAGCTGCACTTGCGGATGAGCCGAGAGCATCAGAGCTGAACGTGGGGATACTCCCAAGCTCTCCGGATCGGTCAGCATTGCCAAAAGGAGCAAATCTAGACTAGATCACGATGGTCCATGGGACATTTCCCAGTAAATGTAAAACCCCGTTCGGGAAAGTGGGCAAGATAAAGTTTCAACGTCTGCGCCGTTTAAGCTTGAAGCCACATGGCGAATCCACCTCGCTTATATATAGCCTTAGCCTTCCCGGCATGGCCGGCCGTTGGGAGAGAAAATTATCCACATTCCGAAAGTACCGAGGGAAACATCTAGGAACGGCGGAATCATAGAGAGCAGATTATTAACGGCTTTCTTTAGGTTTGGCTCTTGGTGAGGATCTGATATAGCGAGCAATTATCTCATCGTTGCTCGACAACATCTGCTCTTTCGTCAGTATAATGATTCTTGCTAGTTGAAATCTTGCTCAAGTTGCCCTTAAAAGAATTACATGGTATATTAATGCCTTAATTCCGCTGGCTTACAATGACGCAGACCCCTTTGATATTCATTACATCCTATTCCTAGACAGGGCACCAACAAGTGACTAAGTGGATAGCCGTCAACATCGCGAGATGAACGTGCACGCTGCTAGTGTAAACGGAACAATACCACAACGCATCTAGAACAAAGGAGCAACAATAGCACGAGGTCTTTGACGTCTGTATCATCCGTTTCATCCATCAGCTTCCCCGTTCCGTTCGAGGCCGTTATGGAGACCATCCCACTTTCGCGCTACGACTTTGATTTGCGTTGCAGCTACGATGGGTTCTCAATCAGGCTGCGGAATCATTGACATTTTCTCCTTGTGAGAAATTTTAGTGTTGGAACTGTTGAGTAATTGTTGCTGTTCGGCGTTACTGTTCGAGGTTGCTGTTCCAAGATGGAGGTATATAAACCACTCTTCAGCCGCCTGAGTCGGGTTGAATTCAGTTTTGAAATAAAAAGGTATCACTTACCACAGGAAGATCTTGAATTGCCCATCAGATTAGTTATACAGTATACTCTGTGTCTCTCTTTGTTATCTCCAAGTCTTAGCATCATGGATTCTCTTGTATTATCCTCAGGCACTACAACCCCAATCACAAGCACTGCCCAGTCATTGAAGTCATCATCTCGACCAAGTACTCCTGCAACTGAACAAGACCTTCTGTTCAGCCGTCCTCCCTCTCCCACCCGTACAACTCCAGATGAGTACGTCCTCGTCGTTGGTGGCCTTGGCTACATCGGCAGCCACACAACTTGGGAGCTCTTAAAAGATGGAAGCAGTGTCGTTGTCATCGACAACCTCAGCAATGCTTTTGTTAATGTTCTTGATACGCTCAACGACATGACGGACCAACGCTTCAGCCTCAGTCGTCGTCGTCGTCCAGACCTTCACTTCTACGAGGCTGACTTTCGAGACGATGCCAAAATCCAGGAGATCTTGACCCTTTACTCCTCACCTTCTGGGTCCCAAATCAAACGAGTTATTCACTTTGCTGCATACAAATCTGTCTCGGAAAGTATTGAACAGCCACTCAAGTACTATGACAACAACGTCGGTGGGCTCATCAGATTCTGCAACACGTTGTCAACCTTCAACATTAAGAACCTCATCTTCTCGTCATCAGCTACTGTGTATGGTTCACTTGCAGATGCAGGTGGTCGTTAAGTCGAAGAGTCTTGCTCTCATACTACAACGGAGTGGCGCGATGCTAGTGGCCAGAATCAAACAACTCTTTCCGGCTGCACGGGTCTCACGAATCCATATGGGCGAACAAAATGGATCTGTGAAGCTATCCTGTCTGATTTAGCTGTGGCTGATCCAGAATGGACTATCACTGCTTTACGGTATTTCAACCCCATTGGCTGTGATGAATCAGGCCGCTTGGGAGAAGACCCCCGTGTTGCACCAACCAACTTGATGCCTGTCCTCCTCAAAGTCATGCTTGGCGAGATAGATCAACTGGAAGTGTTCGGTACAGACTGGGACACCCGGGACGGAACTGCTATCCGAGACTTCATCCATGTCTCTGATCTTGCCAGGGGTCATCTTGCCGCCCTTACCGGGAAGGACGGCCAAGGTTTCCAGACCTTCAATATTGGTACCGGAACTGGCCAGACGGTGTACGAGGTTGTTGAAGCTATGGAGACTGCTTCAGGGAGAGCCATTCCCGTGGTGAAAGTGGGACGCCGCCAAGGTGATGTCGGAGCCTGTGTCGCTGATCCTGGAAGAGCCATGACCCAACTGGGATGGAAGCCCCAGAAGACTTTACTTGACAGTTGCCGAGACCTGTGCAGGTTTCTGGAGGCAAATGGGACCAGGATAAGCCTGTAAAGTGGCTACTACCTTCAGGCTATTGGTTGGAATACGGTACTTTTGTCGGATGTTATGGATGGAGGGTTTATTTTGTTGTTTCTTGTTAGACTCATTGCCGTTAGCTGGGCCGAGGGAGCCGGAGTTCACTATAGAGCGGATTTCAAAAAAATAGGACTGTCGATTAAACTTTTTAAAACCTTCTAACATTTGCATCGGTGCTTATGCAAGGGGCCTGGTCTTGCAGATTTGACTTTAACGATCCCGATCTAAACTCCACTCTCAGCTGTCAACCCACGCGAGTAGACTTCTCTCCCCGGTCTCAGATCCGATCGAGAGTCTTGCCGTGGGTCTATGATCTACTCATGGTTAGACATCTGGTGTCTGGACCACTTGTCAGTCCGTCAGCGTTCAAGACCTCCAGAGAGTTTGCTCTTCCGTAAAAGCCTTTGCAACGCTATTTCCAGGATCTCTTCGGCAATCTCCAGCTGCTACTCACAATGTGGAGCTGAGAGTTCCCTGGAGAACCGAATTCTTGGGCCCAGGGACCATGAATGCCAAGTTAGACCATAACGCGCATCCCGTTTTGCCAGACCCAACGGCATTTACAGGAAGACGTGGCCACGAGACAGTTGGTACGGACGTAAGCTATCTAGTGAGTCGGATATCTAGGGAAGCGGCTTCGCTTGGCATCGGCCTGTCCGGCTCGAGTGACGCTATATCGTTGACTCGAAACCACTGAGTAGTTTCCTGCAAGCTTTTCAAGGAACATAATTTACCACTACTAAAACTTGTAAAGTAATTAATGTTCTTCTTGTATTTAATTGGAAAGTCTATATTATTGCACACTTTGTTAATAGTCGTTTTTGCTAGTTAACTAAAGGTCTAAATAGTGAACTTACTATTATCTGGCCGCTGTTACAACTTACGACACGTCGCTCTCACGCTGGCGATAATGACTGGCTATCCTTAATTCCTGGCATAACTCTAAGTCCTCGAAGTCCCTATTAGTTCACAAAGACGGTTTCGGCATTGATGACCCTTCCTTGACTTTCATCTGAAATCGACACCCCTAAGGGAGTGAAAGAAAGAGTAGGAATGATATAAATCATCATGGCAGCCATTGCCAAGTTCTCTATTATGTGGGACTGCGATCTCCACGGAGCGGCGAGCTGATTGAGATTGATATTGGTAAAATATAATCAACCCTCCACTCCACAGAATCTACCCACTCTATTAAAATAAGGATGATTTCTATCACCCCTTTTCTGGCAATTAGTGTCGATATTTTATTTTAGCATGGCAATATCTCTCTTATGCACGGTGGGTTATAATAACCGTAAATAGATAGAAAAAGATAAAGGACAGAATATCACATTGGCGGAGGTTGGACTTGCTAGTGCTTATCTCAATGCGAAGACGGATTCCGCGGACTTGTGGAGGCGGACGAATTCTGAGCTAGACTTAAAGTAGTAGTTGAACTACGACGCGACCAATCAGCACACCAAGTCTCATTTTCATCGTCTCCACTGTCCATTCACGCACATAGGTCATCTATAAATTATACGCCTCCAGCTTGGCATAACCTTCACGTTCAGTTGCGTGGGAACGATATGATGACGGTTCAAACTGAGAAGCAAAGAGTTAAACGAACCAGGGCTCGAACTTGCCGAGTCCGGACGGGGTGCTTAACCTGGTAAGTTGTGACCACTCTTCAGACAGACCGAGTAATGCTGATGCCGCTCTGCAGCAAGTCAGTGCAAATAAAGTACATCTTAATCGCCGAGTCTATTGCTAATAAACGGCTCAGAATTCGGCACCTAAAGTGCGATGAGAGCAAACCCGAATGCAAGAGATGTATCAAAGACCAGAGAAAATGCGACGGTTACTCAAAGCATGTACCGATTCGTTCGAATCACAACAGACCTTGGTCTGTGGCTGTCCTCCCACACAAGCCAGAATCTTCATCTCCTTGCTTCGGCGACATGATGCTTGTGGATCGAACCGACAACGCTCTCCATCACCACGCAAGAGTATACGCTGCGCATGACCTGGTAGCCTTCGACACGGGAAGAGGCTTCTGGCAACAGCTCGCATTCCCACTCTCTCACATCGTAAAACCTGTGAGGCATGCTATTATTGCCCTTGGTGGAGCTCATCGCTGTTTCTGGGCCTCTAATCCAGCTCAAGGCGCACTTGTTCACGCCGACGTCAGAAATGAAGCGATACAAAAGTACAACGAAGCCATTCAATGCATACAGCTTGTAATGACAGGGGGATTTGAAGAGAGTACGACACTGACTTGTTGCGTCATATTTATTTGCATAGAGAACTTGCTTGGTCGATTTTCTCATGCTGTCTGCCATCTTCACGCGGCTATTCGGTTGCTGAACTCCCACCGGCAGAAGCTACAACATCCGCCCTCATCCAAGATTCCTGGTATATATGGCTTGAAAAGAGGTCGCAGTACGTATGAAGACGACATGCAAGATATAATTTCCGAAATGATCTACTGGCTCAGCCAAAATGTAGCCCTGTACACGGGCGATTTATACGTTCCTGAGCTGGACTGGCATCCTTGTATACCGAGCATTCTGGGAGACGAGACACTCCCATTTAGTAGTCTTCAGGAAGCACGGGAGAGTCTCTCGTATCTGGATTTTGTTTACGAAGCTAATTTCAACGTTGACACGACCTCTGCCGACATCCAGAGGCAGAAGAGTTGTCCACTTCCCCTAAAGGCTCTCTCTCGCCACTACACAAACGCCGCCAATCTTACACAAGCTGCATATAATATATGGAGCTCCAGATTGGATTTATTCAAACGCTCTATGAGTGGCGTGCAGCTAGTACCTCATGAACAGCAGTCTCTAGCCTGGTGTGAATTACAGCAAGCCCTCTGGAGAGCATTTCTGAACTGCTCTGATGGAGGCTATACGAAAGAGAATAGTCGTCACATTCTTGAAAGAGTCGAAGATATTCTTCAGATCGAGTCAGCCCAGACAAGACCAGTGTTTAAGTTTGATGGAGATTTACTCAGCTCTGTTGGGTTCGTTTGCACAGCTTGCAGGGATGGCGATGTGAGAAACCGGGCGATAAGTCTGCTTCGTTCTATACGTCGTAGAGAGGGCGTGTTTGATAGCCAAGAGATGGCCGGCCTGTTCAGCAGGATGGCTAGCGTGCTGGACGGCAAAGTAGCCACTTGGGAAGCTCTGCCTTGGGGAGCCACTCGGTTATCGCTCGAGCTATCCCGCTTGTCGGACACATCTTGAGACTCAGTAGCTGTTAGTAAAAGACACCCTGTTGTGAGGCCTGGGTGGAATATAATGCCCAATCATTGCGGTTGGAACTTGGACCATGCAGTCCCCGCACCCATCGTATTCTGTATACTGCAAAGGGTCTAGCTCGATGGTAGCTCAGAAGCCCCAAACTGCGTAAATTCTACTCGTTCAAGTATAGATCTCTGAAGTAATGTATTAAACAATGCGTATGACGGGACAGTACTACCGGATCACTTACTCAATACACGTATGCATTGTGGCTTTGTGGGACTTCAAAGCCTCTACCGGATCCGTGAAAGTACCAGAGGAGTTGGAGGAACCAACTATAAGAACGAGCTGCGCCCTTCGATATATTTCACCATCCTTAAGCTCCAGCCCTGGGCCACTTACTACTTGCCATTCTTTCAGCAAATCACACCCCCTCTCTTATCTTTAATCCTTTCTCTCCTCAAAAAGGCGCCATGCTTTCCCCTCTGATATACTTGCTGGTAGGCTTTATGCCACTAGCCACCCAAGCCTCACTAGTTGCCAATCTAGACATTTCGGCAAAGGTTGCAGCCCAGTATGGGTGCAAGGGAGCGTGCTACAAAAACTTCCAAGCTGGTTTGGCTGCCGATCGCGAGTTTTATGGTGCCATCTACGACGACGACTTTTATGCCACAGCTTCCAACTTCTCTTCTTCCAAGCCAGGCGACGTTCTCAAGTTCAAGCCTATCAACGCCAGTCTCTTGACCGACATCCCTGAAGGCACAGCAGCATACAAACTCCAGTACGTGTCCAAGGATTTATACGGAAGGAAGGTTCCGGCCACGGGTTTTATTGCCTTTCCTTATGCTACTCGGAGGAACGATCATAAGTTTCCTCTTATTGCTTACGCACACGGAACTTCTGGTGTGTTCCGCGGTTGCGCCCCCTCAGCGATGCCAAACCTGTATGATTATAACAGCTGGTCACTCCTGATCAGACGCGGGTACGCTGTTGTTGCGACGGACTATGCAGGCTTGGGAAATAACTACACAAGTCACCAGTATCTAGCCTCCCCAGCACAAGCAAACGATGTGTACTATTCTATTGTCGCGGCCCGCAAACTGTTCGGAGCGTCTCTTACAAGTGAATGGATGAGCGTCGGCCATTCTCAAGGTGGCGGTGCTGCCTGGGCACTGGCCGAGAGTCCACTGCTGCGTCAAAACTGTCCTGTCGGCAAATATCTTGGCACAGTGGCACAGGCACCTGGTGTTCGTCTTAAAGAGATGGCTATCGCTGCCCTTGAGTCAGATTCGTCATCGGACGTCACTTCCTCCCGCGGCGTTCTGGGTGAGGTGGGATGGGTCATTATAGGTCTTCGATCCATCCTCCCCAAGGACAGACAGAGTTGGTTGAAGCCTGCATTCCGAAAGCGACTCGAACTTGCAACTCTAGCACAAGCCTGTTACGCGTCGGCTCAGGCCCTAGTTTCGGATCTTGGCGTGGAAGATATTGTGGACTTTACCGACACGGGCTTTCTCAAGGCTATCGATGCCATGCAGAACTTCACCGCCAGGGGCGAGGGGAAGAGTCAGCAACCTATTCTGGTTGTACAAGGACTAAAGGATGTTTCAGTCTTGCCGGAAGTGGTCGAAGAATCGTATCGAGTTGGCTGTCGCTCGCGTAATGAGCTGCACCTTGAACTCTACCCTGGCATGGACCATGATCCTGTAATCGCTGCTGCATCGCCCTACTTTCTCCAGTGGATCGATGATCGTTTTGCTGGAGTCACGACAAGTGGTAAATGCACCAACCATACGACCCAACCATTTGATGCTGTCAACATGTACGCTCCGGATGATACTGACTAGGCCAATTGCCTGGGTCGGGCTTAGTTGAGCAGGGAAAGTCTCATTCTGTAGGCTCATCTGCCTCTAGGGTTGGAGCACTGAAGAGCAGGCTTTGACCAAGTTTTTTTTTTTTAGTTTGGGCGCCTCTTGTACTCCAGTGCTGAAAACTGGATGGGCCATGCCTTGCATTTCCTCGTTAGCTTTTAATTCATGCTTATATCAGAGTCTACTATTCTTATTCATACCAAAGTTCGCGAATTATTGGAAGGAACTATGTATTCTTGATTTCGGTCAATACCCAATTAACAGCCCTTGCTTTGAATTATCTTCTCCTGCATGTGTTGGCGGTTGTTCGTGGTCACCTGGATGACTCTCCTAATAATAACGATATCGAGATTTGAACAAAGGGACAACATCGGAAAGGAAGCTGATGATAAGTAATGCCCCAATCCATCGGCATCGGCGAAGCTTCCCAAACAAGTCTATCTGGCCTTGTTGCTAGCACTACGAATGTAAGGTTCCAACGGAAACACCTGAGCTTCTGGCGTCACACCCTCATAAAGTTCTGCCCACCTCTCACGTAGAGGCTCCGGGGTTTCCCAAGCATTCTCAGGATCTCTCAACCAAAGTCGCAACAAATGGCGCCTATAAAGTCAACATAAACCCATTACTCAGACTTTCGTACTTACTGCTGAGCTGGCGAATCGGTGAATGCGTCTCGAGCATGAAACACAGCGAGGTTGTTGATGAATTGCATATCGCCTTTTGCAAAGTTGGTCGAAACACTTAGTTTATCTCCCAAGAAGTGAAGAGCATCGAGAGCTTCGGCTTGAGCTTCGGTGATGGGCGGAATATCGTGACTCCGTGGCAGTGCACCGAATCCGACAAAGTATCGACGAGCGTACTGCAACGCAACTCTCTCAGGCAGTGTATCGGTGGCCATTTGATGATAGAGAAGTGGTCGAGTCGTGAACTTCTTATTCGGGTTTGCGAAGCTGAAAGTGTCAGTCAACCGACCATTAAACATCAGAGTCTTCTTACTTCTCAACATCCCAATTCTGCGACAGCGTATGAATCAAATCAGGCCTCGTCCTTGCCAACTCATTATAAACCCTCCACGTACTCGCAATCCTACTCGCACCGCCCTCTAGCGCCGTCTGTAGACAAAACAGCGACACGATATCACCAGAATCAGTATGAAAAACCTGTCTGTCAGTAGTATACGCCGGACTTCCGATCGCGCTCTTGTCTTGACCGGCGCTGAGATCTTTTACATGCGTGAGGACAACGTCGGCGGGTTTGCCGTTGAACTTGCTGTCTTGACGACCTCGCTGCGATGCGATATGTGACGAGATGCCGACGTAGATTATGGCGTTTTCTTCGCGGGTGTAGTTGTCTACGTTAACGCCGCGGATGACGAAGAAACCATGGCCTTTGTGCAGCTCATCGGATAGCTTTCGCAATTCTGAGTGTAGATTTGGTAGAGGGAATGTCTCTGTCGTGAGATGCCCCAGTGAGAGGCCAAGACCTGGTCGTGTTAGATGAGGGGTATATAGCTATCAATGTCAGACACCTTTGAAATGCTGTAAAGCCTGACCAATCTCGCCGAGCTGGTCCTCGGATAGCTTATAAGTCCAGCCATAAGTTTGGCCAACTGAGTCGCCTTCCCATACAAGATCGCCATTTAGTTGTTTCGGGAAGCCATCTGGGACCGAAGTCGGAAGGTTCCCCTCTTTGAGTCGCTTGGCTGTTCTGGCTTGGTAGTTTTCGTAGTATGGAGCGTAAGCAATATCTGGTTGACCGGGCGGGGGTGCCGCGGTAACAGTTGTTGTAAAAGACATGATGTTGATAGTCAATGGGAAGTGATGTAGGAAAAAAGGAGTGAAGCACTCGCTATGATCGCCGGTAATAAGCAAATGGGTTGGAGGTCATTATTAATACGAGGTATAGCAAGTGGTGGTGGGATCTGCATGATGAGGTGATGCGTAACACTGATTGCACCATAGCACATAATACTCTCCAAAATTCTGCGAAAATGGAGTAAAGTTCCGTATGTAACCACGTACAATAAGAGACCTTAGGACACGACCGTCAAGGAGTCAATTAGAGCATAAATCTGCAGGAACTCACTGCCTCCAATCACAGAAGTGCATTCACTCTCGGAACTCCTCCAACTCAGTCTTACCATGATATAACGTCCAAGCCCATAGCGAATCCACAACCAGAATTGTCCCAAAACTGAACACGAGACTACCCCCAAACACAAACTTATAATACCACCATGCATTACTGTCATTCAAGTCATCCACTTGACATGCGATCGCCCACGGCAGTACATAAAGCAGATTGCTTGCAAGACTCTGATACAAATACCATCTCGGTCGCGTTGCCAGAAGAATCGTTGCAAGCTGAGTTGACATCGCGTAAAAGATATAACACCAGTCCAGACTTCGCCACATGTAAGCTGTGACCTCTGCGACTTCCTCTGAGCCACTGATGTATGATGCAAAGGGCTTTGCTCCGAAGAGCGTGAGGAAGATGGCTATCGGGACTTCGAAAACGAGGGCGATAACTAATGATCTGAAAGCTGGGCGTACGATGCCACGAAGGTCCTTCAATGATGCTTGAGGCTTTTGTGTGCTGATGTCGACGCGCCTTCTCCAGTCGCCCCAGTTGTGACCGATGAATTGCAACGCTGTTGCCTCCAAAGCCTGAACGGGAACCATGATCAAACCCCATCGGATAGTGTTGAAGACACCCCAAGCTGTAGCGTACACTGCTCCTAGAGCAACGATGGTACTGACCAGCCAGAGATACAAAGCATTTCTGACAGCTGACTCGGTGAAGAAGACCAGCCCTGGCCGAAGAAGGACTTTGAGAGCGTCAAAGCTTGGACGCAGCCTCTCTTGAGGGTCATGGGATGTGTGCCTCTTGAACGACCAGGTATTCGACCAGAGAAAGTAAATAAGTCCTGCAAATGCCGCGACAAGATTACAGACCAGTTGTATAGTGCCTTGCATGTTGACGGTGGGAGTAAAGGAACCGACATGGAATTTCGAAATGAGAAGAAAGTCAAGGATGATGTTAACAGCAAACTTGACGGTGCTGATCGCCAGTGGAATGTCAGGTTTATCCAAAGCCCTTGTCGCTGTTGCCACTGCAGTTTCGAGCGCTCCGCTGAATACGGTGAATGAAGCGATACGAACATAAGTCAAACTCGCATCGCGGACTTCCTCAGGGACGAAGCTATTCGCAAACGACGACGCAGCAGCAAGGAAGACAATACTCAATATCAACCCAATGACAGATTGGAACGTGATTAGGGTATGCGTCAATTGAAGACGCTTCCCCAGCGACCGCGAGGCCTTATCTCCAATAATGACCCACGCAGCTCTCGGCAATCCTTCATTGACGGCTTCAGAAGCAGTGTTCATGTATGTATACGCGTCGGTGAGCACCACCATTGATGAGTCAATGTTTGCGACCCACAGTTTGGATAAAGTGCCGTATAGAGCGGGCAGGATGAATGACGCGAGGTTGAAGAGGAGAGAGCCGGTGTAGTGCGTGCGGTGGAGGGCTGAGGATGAGAATGCGGACGGGAGACGGCGGATACGACGGGTAATGCTGTTGAGGATCTTCATCTTGTTGTAGGATCTTAGGCCATTTTGGAAGATAAACGGTGTTATTTGTTGGTTGAGAAGAGCAGAAGGATGATTGAGAGGGGAAATCGTGATGTAATCGAAAATGAGGGACAAAATACGATACAGCCAGGTGCGTGAACCCCTCTTCAGCAGGTCGGCCTCCTGCATGGAAAGCGCAATTTTTACTGGACACCAGGAAAAGGAAGTCATTTGTAGCGGTTTCTAACGATAAGAGATCCGAATAATGAAGGACATGACTAGTCATATGACTGTTGATACGCTCAAGCTCGCAAGCGACATAATCAGGAATTTGAGACTCGGGTATTTGCTTACTAGATAGGAATGTCTTCACTTCTTGTACCTCAAAGTCCTCATACCACCATTCTCTCATGTCCTGGCTCAATTCAGAATCCCCTTCCAGTGCTCGACAATCTATGTCTACTAAAATTATCGAGACTGCTCATCGGCCCTAATCACCTTGGAAAATGAACTCGGGATTCTCGAGCGAGATATCTTCCTCAACTTGCTGATAGATACGCTCATGTCTTATCTCCTCAGTTTCTCCCTGGCCATCTAATAACGCATCCCCACTGGCCGATGCTACGGGTGGCTCTTGGCTTGAGAACGCCGCAGGGGGCGGAATCTGTGAAGATGATACCAAACGAGGATATGATGTTTCTGGATTGTTGATGAAGCATTGTTCGATCGACGTGGCTGTGACAACACTGGTTTCTATGACCGTGACGTTCGTGATAGGCACAATCTCTCTGACATGCTCGACTGTGACGTTCACAGTGATTATGGCGGGTTTCAGGTCAGGGATGGTCGTGGTACTTCGGCAATGTCCTGCGATAATACGTGTCAGTTATTGGATTTAACATAGGTAAGAGTGTACTGCATGTACCTTGAGTTTGGTTGTTGACAGTCACGACCTTGACTGATTTGATGACAATCGTTTGTGTTGGGAGAACCTTGTGTAATCGTCAGCTCATTGGATCCTACAGAGGAGGATGGTTTATATTCCCAGACGACATACACGCTCAGTCGTAGTGGTAACGTTTTGTGTAACGTAACTGGTGCTTATAGGGGAACGAATAATCTTGACCTCTTCCATTATTCCGCACTGCTTGATGTGGCCACCACATTCAACCATCGTCTTCTCATCCACGCTTCGAGATGTCAATTGTTCGATGTTCGTCACTTGCAACCCCACTGCCATGCCGTGACTTAGCCTCTTGAACTGTTCAAAAACTCACAGATAGGAAAAGTATGGGTATATCATGGAGTCAGTATATGATGGAGTCAAGGACAGCTTACAAATTTCTGCAGTGACAAAGCCTATGAGTAGGATGGCGGCGACGACTCGGGACATTGGGTTTAGCAACATGATGAACGGCAGTAAAAGCTAACAGCAAATCCTATTGACGGAGAGTTAGATTGAGAAAGATCCTTTTGAGAAGGACGAGAGGTAGTGGAATCAATTCGCCAATTAGCACAGAGGCATCGTGTCAATTTATCGTCAATCGAGCAAAAGGGAGACGAAAAGCAAAGGAATGGGGAGGTAATGCTATTCCCATTACTCTCACAAGACGAACAAAAGTTCTGACACAAATTCCTTGCTGAGCATGTGAAGGCATGATCAGAATGATTGTTAGTTTAGCAATTGGGATCAGCTGAAAAGACTTGATGCCCTTGCATACAAGGCTGGAAGTCTGAGCGCCGCCTTGAGTGTGATCCAGACATGACACCACTGATACTTGACACTCGTTCAAGACAAGCGTTGATGAAAAGACAAATTCTCGGTTCTACTTGCGGTACTAACACTCATGTGGCACTAGTAAGCGACTTGCGATGCAAAGATCCGGCAGGCGGCAGAAATGTGATAAAGGAAGTGGCTTACATACGATGGACGGGAAGCAAACGGCATCATCAAATCTATAGCGCTTATGTGTGATACTTGATTGAATTTGTCTCAGAGTTCTTTCATAAACAGTTAGGATGTTCCCAAAACGGTTGGAAAACATCTGTTGTGGCTGGCGGATATGGCACATGGCTGGCTGGAGCGCAGTGTGGTCTAGACTTTGACTTTTAAGCCGTAATATGCAGGAAGAATTAGTTCCAGTGAGATCTCACAAACTCCGAAACAGAATATCACTGGAAAAAGACAAGATTGGCAGTTTTGCTGTCAAGACAGAGCTGAATGCCCTGCATGGAATGAGACCTCGTGGGGTCGCATGGCATTCATGGTGGTTCCACAAATGTGATGACGCTGGAAGTGTTTCCGTTCTCTTGTGCTTATGAAGTTGCTCTCTGATCACCGCCGTACTCTTTAAGAATTAAGCACAGCAATAGCCTAACGAGTCGATAAGGTATGTGATCCGGAGGTCGTATACTGACCAGTGTGATCTTAGACCGTCGATTGTCTCTAAACCCTTACAGAGATTACGATCAATGGCTCGACCTCGGGCTGGCTGACGTGAAACCTTGATTAGTCGAGAAACGAAGCGCGCAATTCAATTAACGCATAAATTGGCCCAAAATATTAATCGGTCCCGTTAGCTGAATATTGTTCAGATGGTAAAGGATCCTATACCTAGAGCGCCTATTATCTACAGATGGAGTGTTGGCTAAGTTGAACCGGCAAGTACTTTTGACAATAGCTGTCTATGGGCTAAATAACTATATTTTATTTATTCAAAGTCTTGTCCCTCCTTTAATTTAATATTAATTAAAACCGAGAACTTCTAAAATGCTGCTATAAAGGTGATGGTAAAACGGATGTGTTTCTTTGCCAACGACACGTGGCAACCAAAGTGCATCGTGAAGCAGGTTCAGTGATGTAGTGTGTTTACCTCTTCTAGTGTGATACCCCTCTTTTAGTAACTCAAAAGGATAATGTAAGCTTCTTGAAAGCTTGCGCACATGGGGAATTTCAGCTTAGTCCCCTGACGCCACCCTAACCATCAATGCCAAGGTCATGTCTGCGTTATGTGAGTACAAGCTCATCATAAACCGCCTTGCAGTGTATGGAATTTTCCTGTTAACAAGCTTTGGTTGATAGAGTCCCGGCTCAGCCAGCCTCGTACTTGCAAGCCACTTCCAAATGCAGAAGGTTTATTCAATAGTACATCAGAATGTTAACTTGCACCGGGGAAAAGACGACGAGCTACGCCTTCGGACAAACCATAAAACATTTGTCTAGAAAAGAAACACCCCTTTCAAGACTTGGCTCTTGCATGCTAAACTTGCATGTCGTCTTGGGGAGGTGATGCGTTCTTAAAGTTTGGACATTCTTAGGCCGTTGGAGCTGAACCATATGCAGTATATCGGTCTCTTGTTGGCACTTTTCGGGTCAATAAACATTAGAGACTGATACCGATGTTACTAGTCATATATAATGCATGGATTAGGAAATAGGCTCAAGGCGAGGGGCAAGAGATTCATTAAGTGATCATGTGAAGACCATATATGGTTAACAACTTGTTACCGTCGACGATCATATAGTCCTGCCAGTCTATCCCTCAGTTATAAGTACAAGTCTGTTCAAGATAGAATACGGTGAAGATCAAGGCCTTTTTACTGGCAATAGGTAGCCTATTGACTGATATAATTGCAAAAACTCACGCCTACACAAGGGTTCTATCTCCAAGTCGATTGCATGCCTCGGCTGGGCCTGGCACCCTAGCTCCGTGCTGCCCCTTATTATCAAAGCAAGATAGGTGATACTTTAAGTATACCACTAGTAGCGGGTAGAGGTCGTCTGCCGGTTAGTGGCTGTAGCAAGGCTGGCTGGCATTTCCAAAACGGTCAGAACTGAACCCTCGATACGCTACCCGGGTTCCGCCAGTTCATTCCGCAGTTAGCTTCAGTAGACTTTTCGAGGTGGGTTAGGTTGACAAGGCACAGCAGAGAACCAATGCCAGCGGTTTCCATGAAAAAGATCCAAATTTGGAAATAGAACATTTCTCAGAGCCAACTACAGCTAGCCACACTTAACTTGCCCATAGAGGCATGTGGCAAAAACGAGCCTCTCAAATTAGAGTGTCATCATGTATCCCTCAACCTTTTGCTGGGGCCTAAACCTTCTTTCAAATTCATCAAACCTTATGCATACTGTAGTCAAATGTGAGTAGATTCACCGGGCAGGCGTTCGTATTCCCAAGCCTTAATATATCCTGGAATTCCAATGAGCTGTAAAGCTAACCCTGTGCTTGAAGCCTCCTGCAAGGTCAATTTGACTTACTCTGTATTGTGCTCACACGATGCTGGATGTAGCCCCAGATGGCTGGCTGAATATTGACAAAGAACCCAATGCTGCAACCAAAGACCTGCGTAATTGACGAAGGCTAACTTGTGCATATTATCTTGTTATCACACGCTAATGCAAATGATATTACAATCCAAGTAGTCAGTCAGGAGAACCATGGCTTGCTGATGTGAGTCTGCTTCAAAATGGTATGGTGGTACGGCGGTGATGCAGGCAAACAAAGAAAACTGTGGCAAGCTGACCATTGAGGCGTGCGTCTGCATGTACTGGGATGCGATGAAAAGGAATGCTCGTGTTGTAACTATATTGACCATGGAGTTCAGAAAGCTATTTTCTTATGGATGTAAGACCCTTGGACATTGAGGCCTTTCAGGTCATCCATTATTGTTAGGGTGAACACTATGGCTAAGTCCACGCCCTTTGAAGATCCAGATGCGTCATTCGTCCACCTGCTGTTGTCAATTACACTTATCCTAGTATGCATGCTATGCATGAGCTGTCTGATTCTAGTTATGATGACGATCAGACTTGTCCTGCACCTCAGGCGCTCCCTGCAGTTTGGAGTACACCGCGAACCTAAGTGGGACAGCGAAAAACTTATAAAAGCCCTGACTGATCCTCTTCATCAACTCATAGAATCAGCTCACAATCATCTCACTTCTTTTACACACAACCAACATACTCTTTTAACAACTGCATTCAGCTCAAACACGAGTTCAACCGATATGTCTTCTCAACTCCAGGTACTGCAGTGTCCTGTTTCTTTCACCATTTGCCTTTCTAACATGCCATGACAGGACGTTGCCACTGTTGCGGCACCCGTTGCCCAGAAGGATATCATCTTTCATGTCACAGCCGACTATTCTATTGCCTACTGGTCCAGTCGAGCTCAGGATGAAACTGTCGGCAGACAGTATGACTCCGAAGACCTAACTGTCAACGGAGACAACATCAAGGTCAACAAAGACCTCCCAATCATCGCTGCTGTTGCCTATAAGAACGGAGACGGCCATGATGAGGTAATTCTCTCACAAATGTTTACGACCAAAGCTCACATACATTACGTTTAGGTTCGTGTCTTCTACGTTGACGCCACAAAGTTCTGTCTTCGTGAAGTTCGCCGTATCGGTGATGAGAATTCCAACTGGTCTCATGGGCGTGTTCTGAACAGCAAAGCCTATGAGCTGAACGCAAAAAGTGGCCTTACCGCGAATGTCGTCAACACCGGCAATGGCAAGACCCAGCTCAAGGTCTACTATCAGAGGAACTCCAACAGGCTGAGCCTTTCGTACAGCGTCCTCGCCGTCGACAACAAGTGGTCTCTTCAGGAAGAATGGTCTAACCGAACTGATGTCACCCAGGCTCATTGAAGGGGAGCAAGGAATTTCTTTTGGAGGTCTCATTCATCTGCTTTCAAGAAAGGCTGGAGGGTTTTGAGTCCGCGCAGAGGTTTTTCCCTACCAGATGATGAATAGTACTTCAGTAGTTGATAGCATTTTCGCTTTCTGTTTGGTCGACAATTGATTGTTTTTAACATTTACTTTCTGCCATTCGACACAGCGCCTCTATGCTTGTCAGCTTCGACTGCTGTCTCCAAAGATGAGACTCCAAATTCTTGCTCACAACTCCATTGTATCGTGCACAAGCCTGGTGACTCGTGAGGTTTCAGTAGCTAGTAGCTGAGTAAACCATGGTTCCCCAGGACAGACTTCCCGCGGGAAGCTCGTCGCGATAAATGTGGGAGATGGCTCCCCAAGATTTACCCCACTCTCTTATCTTATCTCGGTCCTCCATGTTACTCGGCCGAGATTGCATTTTTCGGTGTTCAGGGTGCCTAGTACTCCTTTTTCACCTGCATGCGAGGACTTAGTTATCTCAACATTTGAATGAATATCATAACGAATGTCTCAAAACTAGGTCCACTTGCCGGAAATCAATCCATTATATATATCCCATTGCCATGCTTCAATACCAGCGTCTATTCTAGACCGAGCCGCTTAAAAGCTTTCGCATAGCTCGAAACGTCAGGGTCACTGTCAAAACCCTACAGAAATTACAGGAGAAGAGTATTCCTTTCCAATAGCCTCCAGAGCCGGAGGAAAACCAACGCCATCGCAAGTGACATACAACGATGCATAACGCGTAGTCGCCGACAGGGTAGCTGCGTTCCCAGCAGGGATGAAGATGGTCTGACCCGTCTGGACTTCCTGTGCATACTCTCCAACGTCAACCCTAAACGCTCCCTCAACGACGGTGATGGCTTGGTGACTACTATAGCTGAGTCTGGACAGTTTCGATGGAATCCGGTTAGTTCCTTCAATGCGAGATACCACGAAGCGGTTGTGTGTCTGCTTCAAGCCGACCAGTGGCTTGAAGAGGAGTCCCGCGGCACCGTACTTGGGCCCAGAGTCTGCCTTAAGAAAGTACGGGCCGTACCTGACGCTGAGTCACGGCTGGGGTCAGAATGCAAATATCGTTCGTAGGACTGCTGGAGGAAATTTGGAGATCCCCTTAAAGAACTTGCCACGGACGTCCAAAGACGCGATAACGGCCACGAGGAGACTAGGCTTTACGTACCTCTGGATTGACTCGCTCTGCATCATCCAGGGCGATAAAATTGACTGGGAACGTGAAAGTGTCAACATGGCAAGCATCTATTCAAAAGGCATCCTGAACCTTGCAGCGACCTATTCCTCAGACAGCCATGGAGGTCTGTTGTTAGAACGGAACCAGCACCACGTCACCTCGTGTTCCTGGAAGCAGCAGATTGACCCAGTATCCTCGCGCAACCTCTGGGGAGACTGGATGCAATCTAGACAAGTTTGCTGGACCTTTGATCCCCAGTCCGAATTTGACGAGCTAGGTCTCAGAAGGCCCTTGCCACTCACCAGCAGAGGTTGGGTGTTACAGGAGAATGTGCTCTCACCGAGGACAGTGTACTTTCTTCCAGGGGAGATCATCTGGGAATGCCGAGAACTGTCAGCTAAAGAATCAATCTACTGTCGTCCAGTCGGGCAACCTCAACAGTTTAGGGGAAAATTTGCCTCGTCGCCCGAGACAGTCCCAGTGACGCGCAACGGCCCTAAGAACTCTTTGAGAACTGACTCAGGCGACTCAGGTGGCCAGGAAACTACCTCAAAGTTAACGAGTGGTGCAACGTCTAACCAAAAGCCCGTAGGCCAACTCTATAGCCAATGGTACGACATGGTCACGCAGTATAGCCAAAAGAAAACTTAACCAGATCGGAGGATCGGCTGCCGGCTATTTGGGCGCTGGCACAGAAATTTCAAGAGATGACAGGCGACGAATACCTTTCCGGACTCTGGAAAGATGATATCCTTACTGGCCTCCTTTTCAAGAGATTCCAGCCGCGACCTGGATGTCACACGAAGAAAACCCGCGGTGGTCGTCGTGGTCTTGGGCGTCTACAGAATGCCGAGTGGAGTTTGAACGTGCCACTCCGCCCCCGTCCAGCTCTTCTGTGGAGATGGACCGGCTTCCAGACGCATCCTTACAAAGGTTTGTCATTGATCCAACTGAGCCCCGGTATCTACCCATGGGCCGGACACGTCGAGCGGAGCTAGAAATCCAGACCCTGGCAAGGGAGGTGGTCGGTACGCGCTATGATTGGAATCCATCGCCCGGAAAGAAGGTTGCTAAAGCGATGGGGATCGCCGCTCCTTTGGGCGGCCACGGTCTTCATTCGGAGGTATGGAGGATATATGAAGAATTAAGTAGGGAGTATGAACGCTAAGTAGCTTCGCGGTCGATCTTTTCGAGCCTGAGGTTCAAGGAAGCATGGATCAGACAGAGAACATCTACGCAAAGCAGCTACCTGGCGTCTTTAAGCATGGGTTCTGATTGTCACTTTGGGTGGGCCAGAGCGAAGTTCATCGAAGAGAAACGTTGGGAGAAAAGAATCAACACCGGTCGAAGCCATGGGCAGGACAAGATTCTCAGTTGCGACTCTTTCGACCTCGACTTTGATACTATCGAATTGGCAAACAGTTATGAGGGAACGCCTGTGCTTTGTTTGCATATCAAGGGAAGATATGGGTTATTGGCAGAGCTTGATGGTAGCTTATAGATGTACCGCAGGGTTGGGGTTTACAGGTACGAGACAGGAAAGTATGAAATAAATGCCTGGGAACCCATGACAGTCACGCTTATATAAACTTAGTTAATATCAAAGGTCGGGTATCGTTAAATGGGATACATGGGTTATCGTGCTTCTTTCTCTAGATTATACGATTAATTCATGAAATTAGAAAAGAAATATAATGTTTTATTAGAAATTTCAGGTTTGGTGACTTAATGCAACAGTTTTGTTCTGTTCAATCGACAGCGACCCGATATCTGAAAAAGTTTTAGATATTCTAGCCCACCAAAGTCCAACCATTAGAGTTCGATTGGTCTGTGATAGGTTAGGAAAATTTAAGATAAGGCAAATATATTCATCAGTTTATTATATAGCAGCAAAAGAATTCAAAAACTTGCCAACGACCTCCTCAGTAGCTTTCCCAAATTTCAGGAGGGAGGCGCCCTCGACGTTCGAAGTCATCAGATACATCAACTAAATTAATAATAAACATTTGCACAACACTATTAGCTATGATATCTTATAAATTAACTTACTCTATATAATATTACACTCTTTTACTGCACTTCTTTAAGAACCTAGATAGGTTCCGATGAACAGCTGAGCCGAAGTTGAGCCAGTGAGCGAAAAGGCCATAACAGCGACAGTCCGTGCCATGTCACGTGTCGCTCGAACTTTGGTCTCAGGAGGCCGAAAGGCTTGCCTTTAGGGTACTGAATTCACAGAAGAGGTGTCTTATAGGAGAGAGTCCTTCTATAATGTAGAGAATGAAGCGCTTAATAGCAGTTTAAAAGCTGCAGGGCCAACAAGAGGAGGCAGAAGAGATCGAGAGGCAGGCTTTTGAGATATTAAAGAGGACACCATCCTGACACTCTGGGCTCTATGCGTAACTTGGCAGTCACTTGGGCAATTCGCAATAGGCTTTCAGAGGCTATAGTCCTTATGAGAAACTATGTTGCTCTGCAGCAACATATACTTGGTGCAAGTCATCCAGAAAGATTGGCGGGAGTAGGAAAGCTTACTAAATGGGAGGAGCATATAGGTAATCAACTAGAGGTGTTGAACACGGAAACTTAGTCACTTGTTAAAATATAAGGAAAAGAGGTCCTCATTACCAATATGGTGACGAAAAGTACTTTGAAGGTGAAGAGCAACAACAAGGAGAAAGACTGTAAAAGACGATAAATTCCAACAGTCTCAATTGCAAGCTAAGTGTAGACGGCCAGTTAGGTTCAATTGAGGTGAGGTCTTTGTTATAAGATAGGGAATCGAGTGGTCAGTTCAATGGTATCAAATGCAAAGACAAAAGGTGTAGAATTAAGTCTGAAAACGCATCCGAAACTAAAGTCCTCCGGGGAATCTGTCCCTTTATACCTGTCATCACAGACATCCATCTGACCCCACTAACGAAGCTTAGACCTCTTACCCTGGAATGCTTGCCATAACCGTCACAGTACCCTACGATTTCAACTATCCTTAACTAGATATACAAGGTCAGACTTTGCTATCCACTACCAGTTATCACCCCTATCCAACAGCCTTAAGAATACACACTCAGACTTAGGCTTATTAAAGCCCTATCGCATCTCATACATCGATCCACGATGGTGATCTGTCCTCGCCTCGTCAAGTTCATAGCTATACAAAGTCCCCGGGCTGGGTGCCTTATTGAGAGGGGAAGAGGTTGAGGGGGATAGTTGAGGGGTTGGACCATTTGATTGAACCGGCGCCGCGTAGGAATGCGTGCTCACGTCATAAGCCCCAGCCTGAGTCTCCACAAATTGAGTATTGCTTGTTACCTTTGATGGACTGTGAGGTTGTTGTGCCAAGCCAGGTGTATACTCAGAGGGAGCAGCCATATTACCTCTTCGGCGACGTAGAAGTATGAGCCCAAATAGTCCCAAGGCAACGAGACCAATGACGCCTAGACCGCCGACTACACCACCAACAATCACGCCCACGTTGGGACTGTCTCCAGGGATGGATGTTGCAGAGGTAGATATTTGAGTGGAGGAGCTTGACGCCTCTACTGTAGCAGAAGCAGTCATACTTGATCCGCTCTGGGTTGGTGTTGTTTCCATCTTTGATGGCGCTGGTCCATCAGTGATCCATTGCGTCTCGGAAACCCCATCAACGAAAACCACGGTACTGAAGTTCCGAGATTGCCGAAAGCTTGTGCTATCAAATTCAAAGCTTTCATCAACTGATATTGTATTGCACCCATAGGAAAAGATTCCGTTGCCAAGCTCGAGTGTGACACAAAAAGGTTTTTCAGACGACGGGCTACGGCCGTGGCCATAAGTCAGAAAGCAACATCCAAAGGGATTGACGGAGATCTGAACTCACCATCCAGCAATGGCATTGCGCGTATTTGTACGGCATTCGCTGTTGCAAATGGCGGGGTCAAAGATGGCGGTGCTGTCTAAACAAGTGGTGTAGATTTGTTGCCAAGCGCACCAGAAACGGTTGATCTGGCCCTTTTCCCAGGTGCAAGGCCGGCCACCGGGGCATACCCAGACAGCTTCATCATTATTGGTGAACCCACAGGTTGGATCTGGGGCAACAGTCACGGTGAGCGTGCCAGAGGTAAGTTGGCTCAGTTCATCAACGTCTCGTTTTCGTGCCAGCCTACGAGGCCGTGGCACAGGATCAGGCTTATGCAGATCAGTGGCCATGGGAATATTTGCTAGACTCTTGAAAGGCTTTTGCTTGACAGGAGCTAGGAGATGATATTATAGACCTATAGAGAGAATGGAAGAGACACTGTCCCGCTTAAGTACTACCTGCACAGCAGAATCTGTCAGGCAGCTGACACTCCAGACATTGGAAAGGCTTGCATTAGCCAAAAGCCTTCATTCCTTGTCCTTGCGATAGATTTGAAGAAACTTGCCCAGAATATTTCATCACAAACAGCATCTTATCTAAAGTACTCTCCACTGACTTAGACCTTGTGTATATATTTATGTTCTTGCCCATTAGCGATTTAAGACAGGTAAAGTCGCCGTGATGGAAAAAAAGAAAAGAAAAAGGAAAAAAAGAAAGAAAAGAACAAAAACAAGAATAGTTAAGACCAGTACCTATTGAACGATAAGAATGTAGTCAAGCATTAGGCCGCTTGGTTCTGACCTTTAATAAAGTTCAGTGAATGCTCGGGCGTTTGGGAGTTTTAACGCCTCGAAAATGTTTCTCCCCGGGATTTAAAAAGTCAATTCTTTATATTAGGTTACTTTAAACACTTTAAACTCAAGATGCTTCACTAGGAGCTATTTTCATTCTTAATGGCTCAGATACAGGCCTCAGCACAGTGTCGTTGGACTAGTAGCGTTGGTGCTGTATTCATTATACCTCTATCTAACTCGAAAAGAAAACATGTAACAAAGCTGATATGCACAATAATAATCTCATCCAATATACAAAAAGTAGAGTTTCTAGATACTTAAAACCTTATTGACAGCTACATGTGGACAAGACAATTTGACAGTTTTTCAGAGTTTGTGTGGCGTTGATTAGACTGTCTTGGCAGAGTAGACAACGCCTAACCTGCTATTAAGTTCTGACCTTCAGCAGCAATTTATCTTCGTTTCATATTTGATAGGCTACTTCTTCTAGTGGTTGTTCAGCTTGATGCCAGATTTATGCATCAAGTTCAATTCGGGTCTGCACTGCAGGCGTAGTCGTCCAGCCTCATTTGAAAGATCACTAGATTCACATTACTAAGTGTTGATATGGACCAAAGTCTCGCCGCTACGTCATAACAATATCTGCACCTTCGCGTTTCCAAGCGTTCATTTTCGTCAGCATGCTTATTTCACTACTGTGCGGATATGGCAACCTAATCCAAGGATAGGAAGCAGTTTAATGTGATCGACAACGCATAGATGATCAGTATTGATGAGACTTACTCTACTACTTCCGAGACACAATGCCGCGTTTTGACGACCCAAGACACATGCAAAACAAAGTCAGATGAGCAAACCTAGCTGATGCCACGTAAGCAATAGATAACCCGTTATGTTCACATGCATTACGCCTAGCGAGAATTTGCACGGCTGTTGGGTGAAGAGCATCTGTGGCGCGGCCACCACAACGCCAGTCAGCTACTTTTTGCGCCTCCGATTTTGCAGGTGACTATTGAATGCACATTTGCCCCCTCCCCCGTAGATTGATCCAAGACTGGGGCCATGTTGTGAATTTCTGTGTGGTCTTTAACTCTCTGTTTTCCACCATGGGCTTTGAACCATGATAACAGGCGTAATACGCCACAGCGAAAGACACAATAATTTCCACTTGAGGACCCTCAACAAGTGACGCGGCTGCTTTTTTTGACCTTGTGATCCAACGAAATTCCCAGTTCCATATTTTGAGGCTTTGAATAGAAAGGCTTGAACTTCGGATGTATAGCGGAACGGAAGTGATGGATCGCGTAGCTTTTTGACAATCAGCGGGATAAACAGAACTCAGAGCAGAACCAAACACCCCATCGGTGTATAGCTCAGCCAGCGACAGGCAATCTCCATAAAACTTAGGACCTAACGAAACTCGTATGTTATGCTTTCTTGTGTTTTCAGCAATATAGTAAGCGACACTTGGGTATTCAAAGCCCAAAGCCTTATCTAATTACCTTATGTGGTATTCAATTATCCGCAACGAGGAGCCTTGCATCAGAACTCACTGCTTCCACGGGCGGAAGGATTCAATCAGAGCCAAATTCTAAGACTTTCGTCAGAGGATCAAAAATTGGGATCCTAATACCAAAAAGGGGCCGGAGGTTGACCCGGTTGGGCCCAGAAATGGGGAACGGAGCCGCACTGGCCGGCTGCTCCGCCAAGGGGGTAAGTAGGCCTGATGAAGAGCCATAAAAGCGGCAATCTGTGTCAGGCCACGTGTAGCTTGACTTTCGTCTCCTACTACCGCCTCATTTTTCTTGATTGGTGTCGAAATAGTCTCTGATACAGGTTCTGCTATTTCTCCTTGTACAAGGGTATTACGTGTACGAGGTGATGGAACAGTCTTCCAGCGACTGGCTGCACCATTGGCAAAAGGTTGGCGGTACCACAGTTTGAGGCCATCCAGACTTACAACTTCCGTCTAGATCAGAAGTTCACCCGACTCCCATCTACATAATGAGGTTTTCGAGAACACACGAGACCTCTGCAATTTCTTTCTTACCTCTCATTCCAACATCAAAAGAAACGCTACCTATTGAGTTACAATCGACCGCATCTCTACAACACCGGCGACATGGTCACGGTAGCTAGCGGCGGCGCCCCTCTAGTGATTGTTGGCACCATTGTAAAAGAAGCAATGGCTGTTGTAGCAACCTCTCAGTCCGCAGCGGCGGGCTTTGCCGCCAAAGCTGCAGTTGACGTCGTGGGCGCCTTAGCCGTGGGTGAAACCGCCTTTGCTGCGGCTGTTGCACTCGAAGGCGCTGCTGCTACTGCTGCTGCATCCACGGTTGCTGCAACCAACTTTTGGAACCCTGTTGGATGGTCACTTGGGGTCGTTATCGTTGGTGCACGTGAGGCAGCACCTCACAGTATCACCTGGGACTGTTACAAGCTTATCATCCATGACGCTGTGGAGGAACCACCTAAACCAATGCTTCTAACCGCACTGGTCTCTCACCCAATGGTTGCGCGCGTTGATGTCTCAATCAAAGCCACGTCTGCTGGTCTTCCCGATATTGAGATAGAGAATATTGCTGGTGAGCTGTACCTCTTACGGGGCATCGCATTACCTTGGGGCGCGGCTGCGCATCATGCGGACAGGATGGAGGAATGAGTTTCTAGAGTCTGCTTGTGTTCAACGGGGCTATCAATAGGATCTTGTTACACCGAGCTGGTAAAGTTGACATAGATTGTATACGGGAATAACCAGTGAGATTGGGTACTAGGTATGTTTTGAGTAGCGAAAACCCCAGCACGTATTCGCATGTCCTCTTGTAATGTATGTTTCTCAACAACAGCAAGAAAGCCATCCGTTTTCTCAAACATACGCTTGATGAACTAGACTTTAGGTGAAGGCCGCATTTTCCAAGAGACTCGATGCAAGTTTGCAAGAACTTGTTAGTCTTTTTGCCGGACGGAGTGGTCGCCAAAGCCCCTGAACCGGCTACTAATATTAACTCCACGGAAGAGCGAGTCTCCTATGTGACGTTTACGTGCCGGTACAGCCATGAAAGGCGAGATTGAATATATAGAAAGCCCTGATATTAGCCAAGATTTGCGGCTGAGGCACTTGGTGCTGGTATCTCCAAACCGGCAGGGGGCACTTGGGATGAAAACCCCACGTTTCGCATCTTGGCACCCGCTACAGGATGTCACCCAACCTAGCCCTGGGTTTCAAGTTTCAGGTGTAGGAGAAGTTATTTAGAAGCTGAAATTATGTTGTATATTTGCTACGTAGGCTTCGTTGGTGACAAAGCGTGCGTGGTCTTTTATTATCAGCCCATGTTGGGGCCTTCTTGAAGATAGCCAGACAGTGCCGCCTGATAGTTCAAAGTTACTCCAAGTTCTATTCTTCAAAGGTTTAAGTTACTTTTACAAAAGTCGTTTTGGAATTGCGAAGGTGAGGACATAGAAAGCCCTCGGTAGATTCTGGCGTTGGTTTATTGTACCAAGACACCGGCACATCAGCCGTCCTTGGCGATGCGAAACCTATTGCCGCCAGAAACCTTGACCGGGACCATCCCGGTAACACTGTAAGGAAACGACCTGAAGTTTATATCCGTAGCTTTCCATCGACTTTGGCATCATGTTGCTGCGAAAGACTCCCGTGCTTCCGTCTGTACGCAGATTCTGTCGTCATATTGGTGTCTAACAATACCGACTCAACGCTTCATAATTATGTCCCCTTTTAGCTGCATACGTCGTCTGGCCCAATCTCATCAGCCGCAGTGTCATGATGTGAGAGTCAGCAGCGATATCCGCATCACTGCAGTAGCCTCCAAAACCCTAGCTCAAGAGAAATCATCCCAGCTGTTCAATCAAACCCCGAAACTTCTCGCAAATTGACCAAGCGCCGCGGCAACTTGTTTGCCAAGCCGCGGTTTCAGCCAGACCCACGTTTGCCATGCTGTCGGATATTGGAATCGCAACGGTTTTTTGCGTCGTATTGATCGTGGATATAATGTTACTCTGCAGAGTCAGTTTTGTGTTGACAAGATGAAGTTCAGCTATCGTGTACCCACCAAATTGTCTCACTTAAAGTACTACTAGTCTACCAGATCGGATCGATGTAACCATTTTCTTGATCATGTCAGTGCATTTGCATCGGCCAAATGCTAAGTATCATGGCAAAGCTATGCCATGGAACTCGGCACTCAATTAGAGTGCAGCTGTGGCTTGGATTTAGTTTACTTACTGTCTCGTTTACCCCCTCGTTCACCTCTTCGCTTACCTCCACGCTAAGCTATATACGGTATCGTAATAAAACATTAAATCATCCACAATCGCAGCCCAGAAGCCGGCTATCGGGGGCGTGACAGGGATACGCCCGTCAAACCTGTCAACTCTGAAACACGGTAGCGCAAACTATCACGGTAAACCGGCATCAATAACACGATCATGATATTAGACGGATCGTTGAATGAAACCATCACGGCTGTACCTTTCGATTTCCCCCTCTTACGTTTGCGAGTCCAGACCAATCCTGGAGAAATGGCAGTTGGGAAATACAGGGGTTCGGCATTGGAAACAGCTAGGGACGATGCACTTAGTAAAAACCTCGTCAGCATCGACAACCTAGTCAGCTCATCAGCAAGGAAATTACTTCGTAGTGTTCTGGAATGTCGTATATAAGACTAGACCTGCTCTAACCACCAACGACCATCCAATCTCATCAACACATTCTTTTTTTTTCAAGCTTCTATTTCTTCATTCATTCATTTAAACAAAATATTACATTCATTTCTAACATAAACACCAACGCAAACATGTTCGGAAGCATTTCTACTTACTTCGTCACCCTCTTGGCCGCAGCCTCGACGGTTGCCAACGCCGCTGCTACTTCCAAGAACCCCGTCTACACCGGCCTCGGTACCCGATACGGCGACAGCGATGGCTGCACTGAGGAGGATTGCTGGCAGAAGGGTGCGTGCAGCTTTGTCGACTACAAGCTGCCCGCTGGCATCGACGGAACTACCTGTGTCTCCGAGGATATCTGGAAGGATGGAGCCAACTGTGGTGGTTGCATTCAGGTCTCCTACAAGGGCAAGTCCCTCAAGATCATGGTAAGTTCAGCTTCATACGCAGTAGATATAAACGTCTGACTCTTTTAGGTCACCAACAAGACTGGCGGCGACAAGAACCATCTCGACATGACCCCCGCCACCTCGTCCAAACTCACCAACGGCATGACCGGCGGCGGTGTCGACGGCATCAAGTGGAAGTGGATTGCCTGCCCTCTCAAATCACCTCTCCAGGTCCACATGCACGGTGGTGCCTCCAAGTACTGGTTCGCCGCTACCATCGAGAACATCACCCACCGCGTCAAGGCCGTCGAGGTCAGCAGCGACAGCGGCAAGACCTGGAAGGCGACTAGTCTCAAGGACCCCAACATGTGGATCCTCAAGGGTACGCTGCCCAATGACACTGCCTGGGTCCGCGTTACCAGCGTCAACAACAAGAAGGTCATTGTCAAGAATGTTGCTCTCAAGTCTGGAGTCGTCACCAAGGGTACTTCCAACTTTTAAGGGGACTGAGTAGCATGGTGTCGTGGATGCAGGGCTAGAGGCTCTGGAGCTGTTTTATTTCTTGTGTGTGTTGATAGTGTCAAGCTGGCCTTTATGGTTCATATGAAAAAAGTTTCTTGTATATATATTCTGCTGAGATGGACGCTAGAGGTATCTCTCAGCCCAATAATATGAACCATATTTAATCATTGGTCTCTTCGATTATTGTCATTGGTTATTGAATCGACACATGTGCTACTAGCGCATCATGAAGTGGATTGCGAAACAAATAACTAAGACCATCTGTCTCTTCTCGGGTATACTCTGGCAGATGGCTCCCCTAACCCTTCTTCTGACCTCAGCTCGCATACTCATCAAGTCATCTCACCCCTCCTAACGAGTCTCAATCTCGGTAGCACGAGGTCCCTTAGACTCCACCTCCGTCATCATAACACCTCGCTCCTTCATATCAGCCCTAGCAACCTCACCAACATCAACCGCATCACCATCGAAGTACTTGGCGATTTCTTCCATGGGCGTGTAGCGGGTCTCGATGAGGAAGAAGTAAATGACATACACCTCAAAGCCAAGGAACACGCAGTAAATGGTGTAGTACTTCCATCCCATAGCCTCAAGAGCAATACCATTGATGTACTGATTGAAGAAGAGCGCGGCAGTGACACAAAAGTTGAGCCATGTGAAACCCTTAGCACGAAGACCGTAGGGGAGAATCTCAGTGGTGTAGTTGGCCATGAGACCAGACCTGCACACTGTCAGCTTGCAAGCGATATTAGAGGGAAAGGCTGGTACTCACTTGATGTCGTAGAAAAGGCCATAGATGAAGGTCAGAGCCACAAAGGCGTAGCCAAGAGCCTTGTTAGGATCGATATCATATCGAGCCGAGACAATGGTCCAGAAGGTGAAGATGACACAAGTTCCGATAGTCGAAGTAAGATAGATAGGTCGACGACCGAAAATATCAATGAAGAACGCAAAGGCTGTATTGATGATCAAGCCCTGCGTCTTCATACCTGCATTGATACCAAGCTGAGTCTCCGCCTTAGTAATACCAACATTATCCATGATACCCTTGAGGTAGTAAGAGATCAGACCGTTGCCACTCCACTGACTGAAGAAACCAAGGGCAGTGATGAGACCGATTCTCTTACGGTTGCCAGGAGTCTTGAGGAAGTCGACCCAGGCTGTCTGTCCAACCTCTTTGTCGAGGGCGATGGCGGCCTTGATCTCACTGAACTCGAGCTGGACGAATTCATCTTCTGGGTCATCCTCTGCGTGATAGTGAGTGAGTACTCTGAGGGCTTCGTCGTGCTTGTCCTTGCTGAGGAGCCAACGAGGACTCTCAGGCATCCAGAAGATTCCGATGAGGATGATGACACTGCAGATAGATTGGAGAAGACTAGGAAGTCTCCAGGACCAGTTGCTCTGAGCAAATGTCAGTATTAAAACACATTCTTCACCGTGCGAGAGTGACATACCTTGATCTGAAGAGTACCGTAAGTGACCCAACTAGAAATGAAAGCACCGGAGTGGTAAGAAGCACCACTCAGTGTCACGAGAATAGCACGATCTTGAGGATGCGCAATCTCAGCGATGAGAAGAGGCGCCGATCCAAGAACAATGCAATCACCAAAACCCAGAATGATACGTGCCGCAACAAACATTCCAAAGTTCTGAGCTCCAGCCTGCAGACCAACAGCGAGCAGCATAAGAATGCAACCAATCTGCACACCAACCTTACGGCCAGCCCAATCAACCAGATAAGGCACAACAAAAAGACCAATAAGAGAACCAAGACTCATAGAGGCGTTGAACAGACCAAGGATGGAACCTCGTGGGTGGTTGAAGTACTCTTGCCAGTAGGAGAGGGTCTGGAGACCGTTCATCATGGAACCTGGCCATATTAGCAAACTGTACAAGGCAAGGAATACGGTGAATCTTACCATCGAAACCATTGGCAGTGTTGGTAAGAATGAGAATAACAATGTAAAAGTACAGAACGCGCATATTAGGTCTCTTCCACCAAGGCACGCGAGCAAATTCCTTGCCAGCAAAGAAAAAATGTCCTTTGGCTGGCTTATCAGGAATGACCTTTTGGGTCCGCTTGGGAGGAGTGAGAAGACCCATGATTGCCAAATCTCACTGTTATCACCAGAAACACAATGAGTAAAGATCTGAGCCAAACGATCAAGACTAGGGAGATGCAGTAACTTTATATCACTGACTCAGAAACTCGACTTAGCCAGACGATCTGAGAGCCTAAACCCAACAGACCGTTCCATCCATGCTCTCAGGGCCCTCCACGCTCAGCCATTGGCTCGGCTTACCCCAAATTGAAGCTTCTTTCCCCGCATGTCTTTATCCGAGCTACGAGGAACGAAAATCATCCCCATGGGGAATTTACATGTCCAATTGGCGTAAACCGGTTAATTATTGTGATAGACACGCGCGGGCGTAGAAGTTAATTAGCCTGTTGGGCTTCAGCGGATAAATGTTAGGCTGAAAGCTTAATCAAGGACCAACAGTAATCAGAGTCATGTGTTAGAGAGTCACGATGGGGCATGCAATTCACACCAATAGGCTGGAACCGGATATACAAGCTCGGAGCGTAGCCGAGCCGAATTCAATCTTAATTGACTTGGCGTTGGAAAGTGCTTATCTATGTTTGCTACTCAACCTGCAGATCGACGACTTCAACCGTGACACTCTCCTGCGCCAAGGCAAACACGCCGATAACGGGACCTACAAAGTCTGGTCCAGTCATATCGAGCGTATCAAGCGTGGCAATATGCTCCCAGTCTTTCCCGGCTGTGTAATATACCCGATATTCCTGCTCTGTGTACTCAAAGCGGAATTGGATGGTGTCAATATCCTTGTCCAGTGCGCGCTGTTCCGTCTTTTTGAGATCCTTGGCGTTGTTGACGAATTCGTAAATCACTGCTTTTTGAGCGGTGTCGTAAAAGACGCGCAAGTAGCGGTGTTCGTCTTTGCAAACTGCCAGACCTGTCTTCAACTTTGCCTCGGCGGAAGATGCGTTAATCTTGAATGTTGCGCTGCTTTGGCCTGCGTGTAGACGCTGTCGCTTACCCACAAAGCTGGGTGATTCCTGTGGATGCGATAGATCGACGGATGATGATGTTACACTGATCGTCTTGCTTCCGCTGTCAATCTTGTAGTTCTCCAAAATTGGGTCTCGGATGTACAGGAAATCTACGCCCTCCACTGCTGTCAATCCCTGCACTGCGTTGGTACTCGTGAGCCGGGATGTATCGATTGTAGCCTCGACAGATTCAAGGCGGAGCCAATCATCGGTCCACTCTGCAGGCGTGAGATGCGACTCTCGACCCATGTTGTATCTTCCGTCTTCATCTCTGCGTACTCCGAGAAGAACTCCCCACCACTGACCGTTCTCATCCTCGAATACGTCGCAGTGGCCAGTATGGCGAATGTACATGTCTTTGCTTGCCGGGACCAGAATGGGGTTCTCCGGGCATGGCTCGTAAGGACCCCAGACATCGCGAGATCGAGCCATGGTGATCATATGGTCTTCGTGTGTTCCTCCCTCAGAAATCATGAGGCAGTACCAGCCATTTCGCTTGTACATATGCGGCCCCTCGGGATAAACGCCTCCTGTACCCTCCCAGAGGATCCTTTCGTCAGATAGCTTCTTGCCCGTCTCGATGTCAATCTCAAACTGAGCGATCTTGGTGTAAGGTCCAGGGGCCTTTGAGCCCTGGATATATGTCTTGCCATCATCATCAAACAGAATACTTGGATCAATACCATCGAAGTCATACCAGATCAAATCGTTCCATTGACCTGACCAGATATCCTTCGTGGTAGCGATGAAGTTCCGCAAAGCATACCGAGTATCCTCTGCTGCTCTCACGACATTCGTGCAGACAACGTAGAAAATACCATTGTTGTAACGAATCGTTGGCGCAAAAAGACCGCCAGTCGCGAGCATGACTTCTCCAACATCCGGCATACGATTGACATCAGTGTCTGACCGATTCAAAGCAACCTGTCCCGGTCTACTGATAACATTTCCTACATCCGTCAGCAACAATACACACAATAAGACATGGCATGGGCCACCTACCGATATGCTTCCACGACACAAGGTCCTTGGAAGCGTAAACGGGAATGCCAGGAAATATGTGAAAAGTGGAGTTGACAAGAAAGTACCACTCGCCAACCTTGACGATGGACGGATCGGGCGAGAAGCCAGGGATGATGGGGTTGGAGGGCGACATTGTGGCTGCAGTATCTGTCTCTGCGTTGTTGGAGAAGCTTGACCTTTTCGAGATGGCAGTTGGCATCGGCAGCTGAGTTGATACTTATGTTCCGCACTATGTGGACAAATGCATGCTGGTGATATCCGGCTGGGCTGAATGTAATTAGCCGCCCAATCGGCTTACGCTAAACTGCGGGGATGAAGGCTGAAGTGAGTGGTCTTATCGACTCATTGGAGACGGCATGTGGATTATTGTACGAGAGTGCTGTGACTTGTTGGAAAATTGATGCGGGGTGATAGTATGATATTATTTATCAGCGGCACAGCGTGCTTGTTGATTGTTAAGGCATCTCTTGGCAGACGTGGATGGGCTTGGAGATTGAGATGTTGAGTTTGGCTTACCCTGCACCTACGACAGTGAAAGCAGGCGACTGGAACGCACGGTCGCTAATTGCGTTGACATTTGTCATGGTTATTTTGTTTACGGTAGGGTTGAGAGACGTCTTGGAAGAGAGACTTTGGAAATTATGTGGTATCTTTCTGAACTAACAGATGCATTTCCTGTGGGTTTGAATTGCTGCATAACAATGAGGTTTAGGAGCGAGATAACATGAGCCAACACTGTTGGCCACTCAAATCTTTGTCGAGCTATTCCCTCACAGCTTGAATGCCCAGTTGTGAATATGTTACTGCCTTTCCCAACCAGTAAATATCTCTTAAGATCATGTTACGCGTCGTAAGCATCCTCAAACCACGAAAGTGATGTCTAGATACTTACGTCACTTCCGCAGGCTCATCTGACATATATCTGTCGCTTCAAGTCAAGCAATTACTTTTATTACCATATTGTATCGAATTTTAAGTCCTCCATTTATAAGCATTCTTCATTATGCCTTGTATAGAAGCACACGTTTCCACCTCGTCCTCTGTCTTTGACCTGGAGTCTGATCACGACCATACCATCACCGTTGTTCTTGTTCTCCAACTCCCGCTGGGGAGCACTGATAAAGAATACGAAAAAGCAATTGGAGCGCAACCCAAAGTTTGGAAATGGCGGCAGGCAGAGCATCTTGAGAAAGGAAAGACCTATAGAATAGGAACTGATAGAGGATCTACTATAAAGGAATGGTTTGAAGGAAGTACGGAAGAACTTCTTCGCAAGCCGTTGGCTGAGAGGACGGACGATAAGATGAACAAGGAGCCGATCGTGATTAATGTAACTCAGCCAGCGGAGTTCACGATGAAGAGGCCTGATGCCGATGGGAGTTTGAACTGGCCCTAGTTAACTATTCATATGAACCTCCATCAATATGCGACTCTTACTAAGTCTATTCTCTCCTGGTGACATGATCCAGGGACTCCTTCGCGGATCATGGCCGTGTCGCAAACCTAGTACCAACAGCATAAGTGATCAAGATCGAGTGACCCCAAGAACAATGTAACGGTGTGAACAATTACAGAGGCCTCATTGGATAGTGGCATGGGATCACAATGCAAAGGTCGAACGAAGATGATGTCTGTCGAGTTACGCAGAGCCAGCCGCCCATAAGTCCAAATTATGGTCCTGCCCCAAGCTCCGTTCAGCGCTTAAAGCCAACCTGGATCTTGGAAAAAAGGGCCAACACCCCGGAAATTATTAAATCAAGGCAGAAAACTAGATAAAAGGTCATCTGTATTACAGCTAGGATACCTTCTATTACTCCTTAGATACTCCAGGCGTCTCTGCTAAGCGCAAGACATACTTCTTTGCAGATGCCTTACCCGCCTCTAGATCCTTTAAAGCACCCTCAAGTCCAGCCAACCCTTCCTTAGCAACCTCGTAAGGGTGCCCTGAAAACCAGCCGTCGGCCAGGCCAAGACTAACCAGATTGTAAACGGTAGCACCGAATTCTGCATTGCCAACTTTGAATCCCTCTTTGGCGGACTCGTGGATATGGCCAGCATTAGATCCCAGCACCGTGATTCCCTGTGTCACCTCGTCCTCTTTAGGAACGACACTCATGATCTTTCCGTTCTCTGCAGAAATGACTTTAGAAAGCATCTCCAGGCTTGCCTCATCAGACACAGTATCGTAGGCATAAGAGATAACATGCTTTTCTGCGACCTTGCGAAGCTGCTCATTGACATAATCGGCTCCCTGTCGGTAATCAATGATGATGTCGCCCTTGCTCTTGTCAAGCAAGGTATCCACGAATGGAATACCATTTCCTGCAATGGCGATGATGGGATGAACATTCGACAGGGTTGCAAACTTGATAGCGAAGGCTCCCACAGCTGTTGCGGCTCCGTTAACCACCAGGGGCGTTGGGACAGTGATAGGGCTCCAAGGTAGAGGCAGTTGGAGTCTCTGATAAACGCCAAGAGCAGCGGTCATGCTGGCGAGAGGTATCGTGGCGCCCTCTGTGTATGTGTCAGAAAAGAGGTACATATCATGTATGGAAAAGAAAAAGGAAACTCAGACCTTCAAAGGCGGTGGCATGGGGGAGATGGAATGCTGACTTAGCGGCCGCCACTGAGTACTCTGCGTAGCTACCATGAGGAGTAAACATCTGGTGGAAAGCAGCAACTCGGTCACCGGGACGAAATCCTGTGACTCCTTCGCCGACCGCCTCGACGTAGCCGGCGATATCGTCACCATGATTCGCTGGGTCTCCACCCATTAACTTGGGAATTTTCCAGTCCTTGGGGTTTGTGCCTGACACGACTGTGCGGATGAGGAGCTCACCCGGCCCGGCTGTAGGCACAGGAACGTCGCGGATCTCGACGTTGAGGTCTTTGTCGATGTATGCTTCCTTCATGATTGTTGATGGTGATATTTTTTATTCTGCTGTTTCTGGCTGAGACGAAAGGTTTTGGTGTAGCGGCAGACATGCTTTATATACCTACTACTATCTGTCGGTCATGATCAAATTTATAACAACACCATGGATATTCGATCTTAGGACTTAAGCCCAGTGTTACTAATCAGATGCATATCTCCGCTTGCGCCAGACAAATTCAAGTGACAAGGGTCAACTCGGTGGCTCGATGTTACCCACATCACTAATTCGCATAGGACCATCTGTTACTAGAACAGTTTCTGCAAGGGAATGAAGCTTTCCCTCAAATGTAGGTCTACTCTAACCCATCAGAGAGCTTCACAGGTCAATCCGACGAAGAAATAGAGTTTGGGAAGCTAAAGTATGTGTTACTAATTACGCAAATTGTACTGAAAGCAATCTTAGCGAGGGGGTTCCGCAATTTGTCTATAGAGTTGCTTACTATACCATAGCGGGTCTCAGGCGTGATTGTTGAAAGGCGGGGAAGCGGTGAATAATATGGCGTTCCAAAGCCCTCCGCCAACTTATTGTTATTTCCTGAGTTAGATTTACAGGTATACTTTTTGACCTTACTGTATACACTGCATATCTGCGCAATTACAATAAGTATCGGGGAAAGTCTGCGTCTCGCTTATTAACCATACTGACCTTAATTTTAATTTATAATCACATGGCGGTGCTGCTCTAGAGAAATCTTAATAGCGAAACTAACTGTCTGGTTATTGACTTAGCGGTCACACCTCGGATTTTGCGGCTTCTAATAGAGGAACCGTTCCCTGAAAGAACTTTTTTATATTATCATCCCCTCCCTCTTACATAGGCAGAAAAGAATGCCAGTGCATTTAACAATTATCTATCAGCGAGAAGCATTTTGTAACAATATCCAACGAAACCTATTTCAAAAACCAATCATAATGGCCCCAGCTACTTCAGACCACGAACTCATCCGCAATTGCATCGCACGATACTGCATCGGTGTTGATCTCAAAGACTGGAACACCTTCTCAAACGCCTTCCTTGACAACGCCAAGGTCGACTTCCCTGACCTTGGCGGCCCTGTTGAAGGGGTCACAGCAATCACGACGACAGCGCAGAGCATGGTCGGCAATTTCCAAACACAACATACTCTTACCACGCAGCTCATCGAAATCACGGGCGAAAAGACTGCCAACGCCACTACGTATTGCACAGCTGATGTATTCGGCGTAGGCGAGGATGAAGGCAAACGTGTGACTAATTGGGGCTTGTATCAAGACAAGCTTGTTAAGGGCATTTTTGACGGGCGAGAAGATTGGAAGATCGCTGAGCGTATCGCCACTCTGGCAGCACCTCTTTGTGGAGATTTGTCCTTGCTTTCCAAGTAGTGGCTTGTTAGTGGGTGTGTCGAAGGAACGGCTAGAGAGACTATTATATTGTGTTGTTGTACACAGAGGCTTGCACCAAGTGTAGGAATGAATGGTAGACTGCGATGGATTCCTACAGACTTTCAAGATAAAGTGATAGATCCCCGAATCGAGGCGTCCACGTCAGCTTTTCGTATTCCTGGAGCAGGACCAAGACACGTGGCGTTTTCCGCGAGCATATGCACGAGCTTGTCAAGGTCGACAGTTACCCGGGAGGCTTTTTCGGTACCCTGGGTGGTCTGTTGACTGAAGTCCGACTGTAGGTCACCGGGTATAGCGCTTGAATGGATCTGGCTGCTGGCAGAACGCAGCCATTGTCTCGGCCCCGCAAGCCCGAAAACCAGATAGTCTGCTGGTTCATGGCCAGGAAAACCAGCTGATGAAGACACAGGGGCGCTTTGCTCCATGGATATGCTCTGCTCACTACCTGGGACAGACGGTTGATTCATGGTGTCACCTGTAGTTGCTGTGTCGCTCGTAACAGTGTTGTACATATAGATTCCCCGCTCTTCCAGGTACTCCTCTAAATCCATAGCCTCAAGCCATTCTCCCTGGAGGTGCGCAAGATTTGTGTCTAGTATTGTCCTTGTTTTGCCTCTCACGATCCGCTGCAAGGACGGAGCTGGCATTCTGAACACGGCTTTGGTCTCACCTTCAACAACGCGGTACATGTTCGGGAGCCGGGGGGCGGAGTGCAGCGGATACTTAAAATCACCCACGGAAGCAGGAAATAGCGACAGGCCTCGAAGAGAATTGACCATTAGGAGCTCTACACCTAACAACTGAAGAGGAAGAGTCAAGGCTGAGAGATGGCTCCCATCTATCGTGCTGTTAGATAAGATGGACACAACACGTTCGAAGCAGGCTTGAAAGAGCCTTGCTGGCACTGGAATCTGTTTGGAAGCAGTCGTTCGTAGAGATATGGTCATAGTCCCGGAGTCTACGGTGGCTGACTGATGTGGAGCCAGCACTCCAGGTGTCTCTTGACGAAAGCTAGTGACTAAATCATCCGGGGCATGCATCAAGGGCAACACCTTATTTGTGCTAGATGCAATGGCAGTCATTTGTCCCACAGCATCGTTCAGATGAAAAAGAACATCCGGCAAGTTTCGAGCCTGCGAGGTATCGAGAATACGCCGATGGAGTGTGGAAAAGGTTGCCAATGCGTTGTCTAGAGCGCGGCTAAACGCTTCAGCCCGGATCCTTTGGGATTCTTGAGCCTCTTGCTTCCGGGCGCGGTACGACCTCTGTGCAAGACGCATCCCTAGCTTCTTCTTCTGGAGCGAGAGAGCTCTCGTTAGCTTCTTAGTGGTGGCGAAGCAGGGTCTTCTTGTCACCCACACACTGACCTGCTGACTACCGACCACGTCTTGCCCATCTTGGATTGGAGGACGGCCACGACGAGCCGGTTGCGAGTTATTCATTTCTGTTAACAAGACAGGTAGGATTGAGGATTTGTCATTAAAGATGCGCTAACCAGGCACGCGAGTAGTCAGGATCGAAGGAGCGTGGAGGGGGCTGCCCCCATGGTTTATAAATCAATACAACAAATTGCGGAGACCCTAATCTACCCTAAGGTACCTTAGGTAATCAACAGATACATCAAGCAACCATCTCTGGCCAGTCAGAAATGTGGCGTCTGTAGATGAATTGCAGCGTCCGTTTGGCATAGGCTCTAATCACAAGTTGCAGGTCTAGGCTAGATTACTAACAAGGTTAAGGTTAGAACTGGCGCGGAACTTGACGATTAAACTACATTCTCCAGCAGTTCTGCCCACATGGGTCAAAGTCGACGGACTTGTAAACAGGCCGAGATGTCGTCCATATTTCCGTAGTTAGACCCACAATTTGTCTGCTTCGTCTGCTACTGCAAGTCCCATCCAAGTTACGGATAGTAATAGTCAGATAGTCCATCAGCATTGCCCCACAATTTGTCTTGTGGACAAACTCACACAGATTTATAAGCATTCGAACTCAAATCACAGATATCTTTCAAGCCATTCCCCATCGATTGCTAGCGTTTACCTCTAGCTCTGGAAAAGACTGGACCCAGAGGAAATGAGCAAAATAATACGGATACAAATGATGGATTCTCAACGGACTCAACCGGCCCCACGTGGCCGGCCTCCGATCCGATGTAAGCGGGAGGAGGGCCGGGGATGAGGTCTAACCCCAGGTGTATGAATGAAATTTGCTTTACCTGGCCTACATAGGCTAGACCCCCCAAGATCGTCGGACATGCATGCGACTCTCGCTTTCCAGAGCATATCGAGCCCGGAAGAGATGGGGTTCTGAACTCATAACTTGGGGGGGGAGTCCGGACTCAGCAGCTTAGCAAGTCTCTGGACGACGCGTTGGCGACCCTTTGCCAGGCTTCCCGAGCACTTTCTTTACTCGTCTTGCGTGCAGGGCTCGTTAGATGTTCCTGTTCATCTGAATGATGATAAGGTGCTGGGATATGAAATGTACTGCTGCATTATGTACAGTACTGCACTACACCAAACTTTGGTCTATGGCATCATGTACTTAATATTGCCAGACAGTGTTGGTGGAATTGATGGCTGCGCCTAAATTAGATTACATAGCGTTTCGGAGTTCATAGCCGATAATTGGCACTACGGTATCACTATCCGATTATGTCGATTGGGTGTATCTAGATACTAGAGCTACACACTATTGGTCAGCGGATGCCGAAGTTATGAATTCATGGCTGGAAGGATACCTGTATCTCGGCTTCTATCCGACTGTAGTCATTGGATCTCGGGTAACAGTTCTATGATAAAAGCCTTTTGCGATACTTTTTCTTTTCTTTTAGTTTGCAAGATATTATCTACTATTTTTATAAGCATATCTACTTCCTACCTGATCCTCCATTCCTTGAAACGATGACACAGAATGGGACAACTTCTTTCCATGGCACCGCATACACCAACGGCGTTGTGTCAGCAACGCTCCTGGCGGCCAACCTGGAGTTGAGCTTCTGGGGCGGAGTCAACCCTAAAACGGGTGAAGTCATCGATCGCTTCCATCCACTAAGTGGATGCCTTTTACAAGATACTATCTTGGCTATCCCCGGTGGGAGGGGATCGTGCGGTGGTAGTGTGATCATGATGGAGTTGATCCTCAATGGGCTTGGTCCTAAAGCTCTGATTTTCAAGCGACGAGAAGAGATCATTACACTTGGGGTTATTGTTGCTGAAGAATTCTTTGGCAAGACCGCTCCGGTAATTGTATTGAGGCCAGAGGACTTCAACCAAGTTCTAGGTTGGAATGGGACTACTGTTTATATTCATCAAGACAAAGTCTCAAATAGACCCTTACAATTAAGCCCTCCAGAGCTTCACCGCGCCACCTTCGATATCAGCAACATTAAAGTTCAACTGTCCGACTTCGACAAGGCTACCATCGAGGGTGCCAACGGAGAGGCCACTAGGATCTCCATGAAGGTTCTAGCTCGGGTGGCTGACATGATGGGCGCCCAAGAGATGATGGATGTGAGCCAAGCCCATGTTGATGGTGCCTGGTACGGCCCAGGAAGCGTCGCCTTTGCCAAGAGGCTTCGTGATTGGGGTGGAAGGTTTCGGATTCCTTCCACTATTAACTCTCTTAATATTGACCAGCGCCACTGGAGAACCTTAGGGATCGATGCAGAGTTTGGCTCAACTTGTGATGAGTTGACACAAGCCTTCCTCGATATGGATGGCAAGGTGTCGTTCACATGTGCCCCCTATCTACTCGAGACCGCTCCCAAGCTAGGGGACTCTATAGCTTGGGGAGAGTCCAATGCCGTCATCTACGCGAATAGCGTCTTGGGTGCTAGGACTCTCAAGAACCCAAATATGCTTGAAATTCTTATTGCCTTGACGGGAAGGGCCCCAAAGGCAGGGGTATTTCTGGATGAAAATCGTATAGCAGAGTTACATGTACACGTGCGGCCATTCAGAAGTATCGATAGCTCTTTCTGGCCTGTTCTGGGCTATGCACTTGGAGCCGCTGCATCTACACGCATTCCTGTTATTACCGGGCTCGAAGACATGAAACCTTCCACCACGGACTTCAAAGCTTTCTCCGCGGCCTTTGCTACATCATCGAGCGCAGCCATGTTCCACATGGTCAAGCTGACTCCCGAGGCCCCAACCCTCGAAGCCGTATGCGGTGGCGAAGTGCCCCCACGGATCAGTCTCGGTTGGAAGGAATTGAGTGATTGTTGGTATGAGTTCAACCACAGCTCTGAGTCTCGTCAGGTCGACCTCATCTCCTTGGGCAATCCACACTTCACATTGCATGAGATCAAGGACCTCTCTATCCTTTGCCGAGGAAAAAATAAGCACGCGGATGTAGCAGTTATAGTAACCTGTGGCCGTTCAGTGCATGCCCTTGCCTTACAAGCAGGCTACGTGAGAGACCTTGAAGCGTTTGGCGTGCAGTTCCTTACGGATACATGCTGGTGCTCAATAGAGGAGCCCATCATTCCAACGAATGCAAAAGTCATCATGACAAACTCGGGCAAGTATATCCATTACGGGCCAGGGCTCACCGGGAGACAGTTCTGTTTTGGAAGCTTGGAGATGTGCGCAGAGGCGGCAATAACAGGAAAAAGCACCGGGATGCGACCTGAGTGGTTGCAGAAGGCTAATTGTATGTAGATATCTAAGCAAGGGGGTCCTTTATATCTTCGTTGCCATTGAAGTTTGCTGTATGCTTTGAACCTTGGCTTATATCTAAATGGGATACTGCACAGGTCATTTGTGAGTAAGACCGCACAACGCTAAGTCTCTTGTGGACATGTGTCAAGGGCAGAGTCCCAGTTCAACGGAAGGAGTGATACTGTCGAAGGTGGGTAGCTGCGACTCTGTAGATTGAGAGAAGCAACCAAGATAGGTCTTGCATCTAGGGTACCTGACAAGCCAGCAAGTCTACTAGGAATGTCACACCAGTCCAGTTAAAGAGGGCGGAATAAGCCATTTCCCCATCCTGTACAAACGCCGCACACAACAACCGCAAGACTTTTGGCCCGCTATGATTCGTGACTACAGCAACAGACAACTCGGTTACGCGAACGATAAGATTCCCACTATCACTGGTATAATGAAGCAGCTCTCAGGAGATCCTACCAACGACTTTCTCAAGTTTGGATTCATGCCGCAGCGAGTCGCTCGTGATATGCTTTGGGAATCAGGCGGTGGACAAGGCACAACGCCCTTGACTCAACGAGTCGATGCGGACAACCAGGTGATCAAAGATCCGCCCTCTGGTCATGGGTGTACTGGAACGGATCCATCGATTTCGAAAGCTACCTAAAAGGTGCCAAGTTGTCCAACGCAACATACTCTGTCACTTCTGCTGGAGCTCTCATGATTCGCGGGGCGCAATACTCTGAGTTACAAGTTGGTGCGAAGATGACACGAGGTATCGAGGGGCCAACTGATATCGTGTACTCTGTGAAGCACAACAATGTGCTGACGTTAATGGATAAGGAGAGCAATGTGGTTGGGTGGGGAGCGTTTGATTTGAACCCGAATCGTACTGGCGGGAATATCGGGAATATTGATGAAAAGAAGGTTGTTTGCGTGTTGGTGTCGACGACAGCTTGGGGCCAGCCGATTGAGCATAACCAGGGCCTAACCAGGGGCATGAAGCTGTGAACGTTCTGCTCCTATATGTGAGTGGTTCATCACCGGGTATGTTCTGTCGTGTTGGAGTTGGTCAAATTTAGGATGTTAATTCAGTGGTTTGGGAGAAAAATATCAGTCCACTGCCTGTTACATCTATCAAAGAACCAAACCATACTATTTCGACTTCATAACCTGTATTTAGTATATCGACGTTCTTTATCTATCGCTCAGTCGTAATGTGAATGCTCTATTTTATCGTCAATTCTCACCAACCAAGGTTCTTACTGAGCTAGTCTATCGGGGCTGAACTACCCCTGTCTGTAAACCATCTCAACTGCGTTAGATGCGCGTTAGATGCAAGGTACACATCATCTGCCCCCACATACTCGCGGATTTAATCAATCTCGACTCCAATAGCCTCTGAACTATTGGCATTAGCGCGGCGCCAACGAGTAATCCGCGTCCAGCCAACACCAGCTTCGGAGTCTTTTTGACAATTTGACAGCGGGCTACAAAAAGGAGGCGCCACGCCCAAATAACGTTGAATCGGTTTTGCGCTCTTGCAACCTCACACTCGTTTACTTGCGCTGTCTCAGCTGCTTCCACTCGTTTGATCAATCACCAAAATGGTTCGCTATTCTATCCTCGCCGTGGCTTTCGCCATTCTCGGAGCCGAAGCTAGTCCCTGCCGACCCACGACCGCGACGAGCGTGGCCGAGGCCTCTTCGACGATCGCTTCTGACACCACTGTTACTACCTTGGCCACGGCCGTAACAACTGCCTTTTCGGAGACCACTTCTACCGCTTTGGAAGAGACTGCTTCTACTGCGGTTGCTGAAAGCACAACGACTACCGAAGCGCCCGCCTGCGTTGAGACCCAAGTCGTTATCAACCCCGGCTTTGATGACAGCGACAACAATAAATCACCTTGGTTTGGCGACGGCTCAATCACCACCGACGGGCCCAATACCGCCCCCAACGCTATGTAAGTTCCATCACCTCTTCCCGAACCTTGCAGAGCTAACAGCCCTTCAGCTCTTTCGTCTTCACAAATGGCCAAGGCAACGCCCAGATCTCCCAAACCCTGAGCAACCTCGACGGCACGTACCGACTAGCTTACAAGTGGGGTGTCTTCTCCGGCGTCAACGTCGGCGCTGGTTTCTCATGCGGCATCACGCCCAAGATCGGAGACAATACCCTCCTCAGTGCTTATCCCTACGAATATGTCGGTTGGACTCCCCAGAGCCAGATCTGGTCAAGCGCCGGTAACGTTGTTGCTCAGGCTGACCTGTCGTTTGTCTTGCAATGTTCCGGAGAGTATGATCAGCTTACGATCAATATTGATGACATCACATTCACGAAGCTCTGCGGTCCTCAGGCTAATTAAGAATTGACCCAAGGTCTCCTGGCAGCGATGCTACAGCCGACTAATCTTCTGTTACATAAAGCCCTTGCACGAGCATACTTCTGGGCATTATATGTTCTTTTCGCTTTTAGACGGAGTGATGCTGTCTAGATAGGTTATTAATTAATGAACTATTGTAAAAGTATGACTGCAGCCTTTCCTTCCACAATGCCGTGTTCCAGTCAGTCATTGCAGCGGTTTCACAAAGTCAGAAAAGATTATATAAAGCTCTCCGCAGCCGCACCCAATAAACATCTCAGGTGTCCTACCTTTACGTCACATCGTGTCCGCGTGTGGCCTGAATTCCCAATTGAGCCGCACAGCTGACGCCGTCTTACTGCCAAGACACTATGATCTCCCGCTCCAAGATCTCGATGTATGCCTTTCTTCAGCTCTGCACGGTTCAATGGAACCTTACGTTAAAGTGATTTGTAAGTTGTAAACGTAATATGTCTTATTGGACGTGGGATATCTTACACAGATAGGACCCCAGAGGGGTTATCGAATGCTTCATCTGGTGGTTTTCCAACCATGATTTAATGGATCCTTCGTCATCTTCAAACGCCATAAGCTTACGTAGGATATCTCATCACTTGGACTTGCGGGGGAGTAAGCAATGTCATGAATCGTCGTGATTCTTTCGCCCGTGGAGGACGGCTGTCTTCAGAGTACCTGATTTAGTATAAATCTAGTGAGTGGCTCATTACCTACTATTCCCATTCGTTCAGACAGAGTTCAGGTCTGATTGAAACTCTCAGTCAGGATGAAGACGCTTCAGTATCATCTCTATACATCCCTCTTCGTGGGGAGCTCCCTCGCAGCTCGCGGAGGCCACTGTCCACCACTCGGCCCTGTCCTCCCTGCACCTGTCAACCCCTCCACCCATTCTTCCGTCAAGGTAGCAGTAGCTGCTATCCAAGCAAGACTTGAAGAAGAGACGGCTCCCTTCAATCTGTCTTCCATAGCAGTCGCCATCAAATCAACCTACGAAGATGACTACCTACTCGAATTTGCCAGTACGCCTCCAAAGGTTGACCCTCGTGGAGTCGATAAAGTAGACCCCGATACTATCTTCCGCTTGGCCAGTCTATCAAAAGTCTTTCCTGTGCTGGCCTTGTTGAGACTTCACAAAGTTGATCTTGATGATGCTGTTACGAAATACGTACCTGAGCTTCGTGCGTTGAACCAACAAGCTCGAAAGCAAGATGCTGTCTGGGCGGTTGACTGGGATCAAGTCACCATTGGGGCATTGGCGTCTCATATCGGCGGAATACCAGCTGACTGTAAGTATTTTCACAGCCAGAATTCGATATTGTGCTAACGTCTCTAGTGGTGACTGATGTCGAGCCTTACGGGGATTGGACAAAACTCGGCTATCCGCCACCTGATCCATCCAGAAGTCTTAACTGCTCTGGTCTCTTGGGTATCCCAGAGTGCACCAAAAAAGGTAGAATCTCATATCTCGTAGTTGAAACGTGCTAACATAGACAGATTTCTTCGAAAGATTCGGCGAGAGGCCCCCTGTTTACGCGCCATACGCCGTGAACCCAGTTTACTCAAACGTAGGGTTCGCTATAATGGGATGGGTGATTGAAAAGGTCAGCGGTATGCCATCTGGAGAGTTTATCAAGAAAGATATCTGGGACCCCACTGGAATGAAGAACACCTTCTACAAGAAACCCGATGACTCTTTAGGATTCATCCCCGTTGATGATGAGTGGTGGAATGCAACCCTTGGCTATGGTGATCCGTAAGTCTCTTCTGGACGTTTTCCATGAGAAGCACTGACAAATTTGGACGTCAGAGCCGGAGAATATTATTCCTCCCTCAATGATATAATGGCTTTTGGGGATGCTATCCTTAAGAACAAGCTTCTCAGTCCCGCTGAAACAAGAAAGTGGCTGAAGCCTGCTACAAGCACTTCATCAAGAGGAATCTTGCTTGGAGAGCCTTGGGAGATATTCCGTGCAGACAATGTGACCAAAGACGGCCGCCTCATTGAGTTCTACACTAAAGCCGGTGATATCACCACATATCACTCCCTCATGGTGCTGATCCCAGACTACAGCCTCATCATCACCCTTCTCAACGCTGGTCCTGAAGTCACAGGTGGTCTTCTCCAAACCCTCTTCACAGATATTGCAAAGGAACTCCTCCCTGCTGTGGAAGAAGCTGGCAAGGATGAAGCAGCCAAGATCTATGGTGGCACATACAGCGATGACAAGACGAACTCGACCCTTACTCTCTCTGTCGATGATGAGCCTGGTTTTCATATCACGAACTGGACAGTCAGAGGCATTGATATTGCAGGCACATATCTCAGCATCGGGCTACCACCAACATTTCCAACGCCCCCTGGAGAAGTCCGCTTCCGCTTGTACCCTACTGGTCTGCAGAGTGATACAGAGACATCTTGGCGAATGATGTTCACTGCTGGGTCAGAAGAGGATAATGAGAAAGCGAATGCGCTCTTGGCCTGGCCTGATGGGAACTGTAACACTTGGGCGTCTTTGGATCGTATTGTGTATCAGCTTTTGTCTCACGATCATTTTGTGTTTACAGAGTCTGGAGAGGGCAGTGATAGGAAGGCTGAGAAGCTTGAGCTTGTGGGTTATAGGGTTGAGTTGCAGAAGGATGATTGAGACGGCACGAGCCAACACTATATAGTTCGGCATGAGACTTCGACACACAGAATCTAGAGAAAAGACGGAACCAACTCAAGCAAGTAGTTTCTTCCGACTGCAACACAATGTTACAAAATTGAAGGGATAAACTACATCGTATTTGTATATAGGTGACGCTGAGAAAGTGCTATCTGCTATAAGTGTCTGCTTTCCCTCTTCCCCCCATTCATCTACCGTGATAAACTGAAAACCACCTTATGATTATATCTCCTCGTATATTCAACTAACGGCGTGCTCTGTTTCAAATCCTCATTAAGACGAAGGATAGTCAACCTCGATAGGCTGAGAAGGCACCAACGTAGCCAGCGACAAATGCGGCCAAGTCAACCCATTAAAATTAAGAAAAACAGTCTGCGAGTACTGAATCTGCGTATAAGTCACAGGAATCGTCTTAGGGCCAGTGACAGGCCCAGGAGGCGTGACAGAGAATGTCGGCAGCGGAGGAGGCGTCTTGGCCTGGCCCTGCTTATAGGCTGGCTGCAGAAGAAGAGGTTTTCCAGGCGTGTAGTTCTGAACCGTGATCTCGGACTTGATCGTCTCGACCCAAAATGTAGAGTCCATCTGCACAGCATTCGCGTTGGGGCCTTGGGAACTCGCTCCGACGAGGAAAGCGATGTTGGCTGTACCGCCGCCTGGGGTTGGATCAAACTGGGTAGAGACTGTGAAAGTGCTGGTCTCGGTGATATTGAGCTGGCTGTTGATGTCAAGAAGAATCTGGATTGGGTTGTCAAGAATAGCCTGGGTGATCGTTCCCTGTTGAATGAACAGGGTGAGATCCTGGGGTAGACGTGCTGTGTTGTTAAGGGAGGCTGTCTGGCTGGGCTTGACCTGAGTATTCCCCTTGTCCCCAATGACGAAAGGAGTGATAGGTCGTGGACCGATATCTGGCGCCCCCTGGGTCACGTTGGGAGGCTTGCCCTGTGCATTGATGGTAGTTCCGTGAGGGATAGAGCCAAGGCGGACAAGCGTGTTCCCCTCCACGGGGTTATTCTTCGTCGGAGGAACGTTCAACCAGAAGCCGGTCTCAGTATGAATACCCGTCTTAGTACCGTCGGCCTTGCCGGTAGCTGTGTTGGTAACATCATTGACGGTCTGGAGATACGTGACACCATTGATAATAATGTCATTCTGCTGCTCAAGACCACGGTTTGGAACCTTTCCCAGAGGTTGAGAAAATACCATATCCTCTTGCGTCAGATTGAGCTCAAGAACAGAGACGTTGGGAGGCGAGGGAGGGGCAGGGAGGACGGGATTGGTGAAGGTGGTAGTAGTGGGGGAGACGGAGTTTGGTCGGAAGATGGTGTTGAAGCCAGGCCCAGTCCAGGATCCGGTGAAGCTATCCAAGATGCCCAGAGGAGGATCTGGCTCGTCTCTTGGAGGGGGAGGGGTAGGATCAAAGTTGACTTCGTCGTATTGGAAGCCTTTGGGGAGGTGAATACCAGCACGCGACGATTCTTTGGTAGGAGCCATTATGCTTGCCGTGTAATCTTTGAATGAGTTGAGTGTTTGGATGTCTTGGCGAGGATGATGGGCTTGATTGTGCAGCAGACGCTCACAGGTCTTATATTCGCAGGAAAGTTGTTACTCGTCAGCGCTTTGTCGCTCTGAGAGCATTCATATCAATACCAATACCTATCTGACTTTCAATGAGCACCTCACATGCCTCATCGCAGACGATCTATGCTACAACAGTACAAGCTTACCTCAATAGCTTACTGAACGCAGTAAGGCTCTTCATCCGTTGCCATACCACCCAGTGGCAACGTTCATATCACAGACACTTTCACTTCTAACGTGACGCGGTGGAAGCACGCTAACAGCTTCACATATCTCAACTCGGATGATCTTCCAATATCCGCCCGCAGTGGCTGGCTGAAAACGTTTTCAACTTCCCCTCCTGTCCAGTAAGCACCCTCGAATTGGCAAGCTGACCACCTGTGGCTTACCGGCACGGGACAAAAGATCTCAACTTCCCCGCAACGACTCTAAGACAATATGCAGCCACTCACGTATCAAGAATGAGACGGAATTGGCTTCTCGCGCATGTCACTGGCCACGGCCCGTCCCGATGAGTCGAGACTGGTCGTATTTTAGTGCGCTTTGCCGAATTGGTCTATCACATACCTGCAATGAAACGGGCACTCAGCCCGTGTTTGCTTCCGAATATTGGTGTTTTTATTGACATGTGAGATGAAAGCTGAAAATATTGGAATGCAGGTGTCCACGAAGAGGCTGTGCATGGCATTTTGGGTATTGAGCTGAATGGCCCAGGTGATCTGTGCGACTTCACATGTTGAAATCAGTCCCCTCACGACAGTTCATACAACGGGTATAAGAACAGACTTCAAACCAGCTATCTTCATTCCGCATTCCCTATCAATCCACCACTACAAGCTTCTTCTACTCTCATCTATGACTATCACCACCAAAATGGAGCCTTCCTTCCAAGGCAACCAATTCTTCCCCGGCACAGCTGCCTACAAGCGTGCCAACAACATCTATGCTACCTCCACTTACGGCGTCAGTCGCGACATGAACCCCTCCGAGATCCTCCAGCCCGCAAGCATCGAGGATATCCAAGAAGTCGTCAAGGCGGCTACCAAGATGGGCAAGCCTCTTGCCATCAGATCTGGCGGTCACCAATACAGCGGTGCATCTTCAACTGGCTCTCAGGGTATCCAGCTGGACTTGAAGCCTACTTTCCGACGCCCCAACATTGATCTTAATATCCTGCGGGAAAATGGCAAGGTTTACCTTCGCTCTAGTGTCAGCTGGCAACTCACCGAGATCTTTGACTTTCTCAAGGATAACGGCGTTTTCATGCCGACTGGCCAGTGCTCTACTGTCTGTCTTGGTGGACACGTTCAGACTGGCGGTTATGGCATGCTTGCACGATCCTTTGGTCTTCTTGGAGATTGGGTTCGTGAGCTTGAGATCGTCGACTACAATGGCGATGTAGTCAAGGTCACCAAAGACTCCCACCCAGATCTATTCTACGGTTTTCTCGGTGGCAGTCCCGGCAATCTTGGTGTCCTGACGCACTTCAAGATCGAAGTCCAGGATGACAAGAATCATCAGGGCTCCAAGGGCCTCTGGGTCGGCTTCGCCTACAAGGAGGAGACACTCAAGGCTCTACTCGATATTCTCGTCCAGAAGGGAGAAGATCCCAAGTTGCCTCGTGGCTATGACTTTACTGTCAACATTGTCAGCAGACAGGCCAATCTTCTGGATCTTTTCCCTGGTTCTGAGGACGAGCTTAAACAGAAATTGCCAGACGATGTCCACGACGGAAAGGACAATATTGCTGATCTTCTCAAGTTCAAGTATGCAATGATTGTTGTTTATGCACAATGGGTCAATCTCAATGAAGAGCCATATTCACCCGATCTCTTCACCCAGATCAAGAACGTGCCTAATGAGTTCAAAATTGTCAAAGAGGCTCCTGAAGGCACCCCAATGTCCGTTATCGCCTCCATGTGGCTGTTCGGGAGCCCTCGCGAGTTTCCCTACCCCTACGACAAGCGCACCAACAGCACAACCTCAACCGAACTCTCCAAGACAGGCTGGTCATCTTGGTTCTCTGGCCGTATCAACGAGGTCATCAAAGACAAGCACAATGGTCTTTGGGTCTCATCTCAACTACAAGTCTATGGCGGCGAACAATCCATGTTCCGAAGGAACGCAGGCAACGGCACAGCTTATTGCTTCAGAGATGCTACCTTTGGGGGGACCTGGGATGTGTTCTATCAGGGTACCAAGGAAGCAGCCGAGAAGTGGCAGGCGGTAAACGACGAGGGCAGAGCGAAGTACTTTAGCAAGGCGGATCGTCGTGTTCTCTGGGGATCTTATGGTGATTGGAACATGAAGGATGTTTGGCAGTTCTACTATGATCCAGAAACGTATAAGAAGATGCAGAAGATCAGGCAGACGTATGATCCAAAGGGTACGTTTACTGCGAACCCTTTCTGCGTGGAGGCTTTGAAGTAGGCAATAGTTACCAAAGCCTTTAGCAATTTCCCAATAAGCACGCTCACTAAGAAGTCTTTTTGTTTCAAATACTTTTCAAGGTACTCTGAAATAATTATAGGTTAGTGTTTTTTATCCTATTTTATCTTAGATATGGGTATTAGAAATAGATGTATATTTACCTATCTAAATCCTTATCTAAATTTATAAAAATATCCTTAAGCGCCTAAAACTGTTTATGGGAAAAACCAGCGAGAACACGTTACGTGGCAAACACGCCGCATACATGCTGTAAGGTTCATTATCCACCAAAGGCGATAGCGACAGTTTGCCAAGCTAGCTTCGGGCTCTAGAAGTGCTGCATAGCCTACGGGGGTTCAACAAGCTTATCTTCGCATTGGGCTGGATGACATGAACCCTGCTAGTGAAGTAATATGGGACGACAGGTTTTCCGACGTATGCGACGTCATTGGGTCACGCAGCAGGTTAAGGTCAGAATCCCTCAGGCACTTTTAGTACCCTGCAAGGCAGACTCGAGTGAAATTTCGGTTAGACTCCCGTCAGCTGAATGCTTTGCCTCTCGTAATGTCGCGGCACATTTAGTGGGCAAGCTGCGATCCTTCGAGCTACTAAGCCACCACCATCCATTGGGGCTTAGCTATCAATCATTATCAGAGCCAACACCAAGAGCCTGGTTATTTATTCTAGTGTCTGCATATTTGAATCATTACTCGTGTTGTTGTTTCAGCATTGTATCGTCGATATGTCACCAATTTCTGAACCTCGACCAGCCGCCCAGCCTGCTGGTGCGAAGGCTTCTCAGCCTGTGCAAATGTCTCAGCCGAGAACGCAACAGCCTATGAGTATGGGTTTCATGTCAATTATCAGGTGCCCGCAAGCTGATTCACGTCTTGATATAGAATTCCAAAGGCCACAAGGGCGCGCAGATCTTAGAGGCAATCGCAGACGTCCTCGTGATGATCCAGAGCGCGATGGGTGCTGTCGCGGCCTAAATTGCTTATCGGGCGTTTATATGATCCCCTGCGCGTGCACACTGTGCTGAATGAATACTTCGTGCTTGTATTCGAATGGAGCGTAAGGGATGAAGGCAATGATAGTGAAGCTATGGGTAATAGTGCTGTAGCCCATCGTGTATACTTGTCTTGAGGATTGTCTCGCTGGTTAAGTTCGAGTATGGTCGACTTGATGCATGATAATAATGGCTGATTCGGTCTGGACTAATACAGACGCAATCGGTTACTGTCTGGAAAGTGCGAAAGCCCGAGCCAGTCCGTTACCCTCCTTAGGCTATCGTCATGTTGTTCTTCTATCCACACAGGCACTCTCAAAGATATCAAGTCAGTCTAAGAACAGGTCCATTCACATCGCCAAATAGGCACTACAGATGAGGCTAGTTCAAACTTGAAACTACCTAATATATAGCTTATGCCTTTAGTTACAAAATGCTAGTATGATAGAACTTCCTAACAACCGACTACAGTATAGTAATCCCATTGGAACTGAGGACCAATGCAGACGCCCTGATTGGTCGCATCATAAAACTGCTGCGGTACGCCATCATCGCAGTCGTCCTCGTTAGCATACAGGTCAATTTGGCAGTTACCCATATCTTCAAGCCAGAACCCTCTATGAGGATTCGGAATACTGGTACAGTCTGGGCGGGCGAGAGGGCATTAGTCGTCATTACTGGAAGTACCTTATCATGAGGATCTAGGAATGGAGCAAGTACCTTTATTACCATCTCCTCGAAGGTCACCCGACGGAGTCGACTCGCAGTCGCCGTCACCATAAATAGTAAACTTCCAAGCATTAGCCACTGTTGCCAGCAGCAGCAGAGCCGTCTTGCGGGTGAGCATCATTGTTGCTTTGGGCAGAAGGCGGAACACGTGCTCGGACCTTGATTAGGTCGTCTTCGTACGCCGGGTCGTTTTCAAGGCGTCTAGAACTAGCAGCGTGGAGGAGAGCTTGACGGAAGACAGGCACGTCAATCTTGGTGGGGATCTCAATAAGGATATCTGTTTTCCACTGGTCGCCGTAGATTAAGTAGCGGATGGGAAAGGGGACGTCAGCTGCGTAGTCGGCTTCGTACTGTTCAAAGACAATATCGCGCCAGGTCTTGTTGAGGTTTCTGGATGTCATGCTGGAGTAGAGGGGACTCTTGGGGAGCGGAATAAGCTGGATATTTATCTTCTTTTCACTCGTTGGTCTTGTCTAGACTCTTACTTGTTGTCCCTTTTTCAAAAGCCACAGTTCAAGGCTGGTTGTCGAAGCGCAGTACTAAAGTAAACTGCAGCTGGCAGGTTGAATCAGGAAATCTCCGAGCTGACTGTCAAAGCGCAGCGCCAAGTGTAGATCAAAGAGGTTATTATGTTGGTTGTCCAAGTCGGAGTCCCAAATGTAGACACGATTGGTGGGTTGAATCAAGGAAGTTGAGTTGTCGTGTTGGTTGTTGGTTGTTGGTTGTTGGCTGTTGGCTGTTGGCTGTTGGCTGTTAAACGTAGATCGAGATGGCCGAGTTCAAGTTGTGGCATCATTAGTAAATGCGGGGTCAGCACCAAATCTATGCCTCAGGTTAGGGAGATCAGTCATCAAATAGAGTGAGCGATACATAGTAGTACCTATGGCCCGTCGGGGAATTAATTGTGCATTTCGGCACTAGCCTAAGTATCTTCCTTTGCCTTATACTGAAAGGTGCACACATACCAGTTCATACCCAGGTATGAGACGTTTGTTGCGTAAATACTGGCCGGGGTCTTGTGATGAAAACAAGTCGCTGCAGGCGATCAGCACAAAGTTTTCTCAAAGCAGAAGTAGCCGAAGCGGCAGAATCTACATATGTCAAACAAGGTACTTTCTATCAAGGTGTAAAACAGACGATCCCGATATGCACCCAGGTTGACAATAACCATCAAACCACCCACTCTTACATCATTATCTCATGCTAGTCAGGGAGTTATTTTTGAGCCACCAAATCATTGTTTGAAATGGACCGGCAGCGCGCTGATCAGTCCACTTGTCTCGAGAACTCGTATTCAGCCAACAGCACGCATAACAGGAGGAATAACGCTGTATCAGAAGACTCTGGCCAATCTACCAATGCAAGGTCATGTGCAGCTGAGTAGAAGTAGGTCACATTACGTCTGGACCTTAAGTCATACTTAATAGCAAGACTGTAACTGTTTTGCTTGTATGACTGTTATTGATGGATTATCTGATCTCAACGACTGCTCAACTGTTTGCCGCATTGGGTGAGGGAGTTACACGTATCTGTAATTACTCCTACTTTGGACGTCTCCCAAGGTTCTGTAATCCTAGATATAAACTGCCTAGGTAGTGTCTCTCGTGAAATTTCTCACAGAAGCTTTCAGAGTGCCGTGGGAATAGCCTATTAACCACAACATAATTTTGGTGAATGGTGTCTTTATTTTCTTTACGCCAAATCAGACCAGAGATGTTCTGGTTGCTAACGGGAAGGTTGTTGCGTGTGTGTGGAATAGTAGTACGCTCAACCGACTATTAATATAACGAATTAAGAAGTGATGTGATTAGAGGCGGAGCATCTATTGCAGGCACATAGACTGGATGAGCTGAGAAGATTTAGTGCTGGTAAAGATTGGAAGGTATTGGATACGTTTTTGCGCGTATCGGGAATGGAAGTAGCTTACTCCCGATCTCTCTAACACTTGGCAGCTTTAAACCACGTATGCTGTCCTAGAACCCAGGCGGACATTTGGGCTCAGAGGAATTGATTATGACTCCTTGTTCAAGACTGACATACAAAATTAACTCAGCCCTTCTCATCAGAGTGGGTCTTTGTCCCTGATAGGAGCTGACTGCAGGCAAATGCTCCACAGCCATAAAAGCGATATGCCGCCCTGAGCCAAATATCTCGAGGAAGTGCAAGGGGATACAATAGACTGCTTGTATTACGCTATAACCTATAGCAGCTCTTTGGCTCCCATAAGTAGAGGCCACCCGACTACAGCTTTCTTCAATCATTAGCAATTGCTAGTCGTCTCTAAGCTATAGAATGCCTCGCGATCACGGATCCACCCAGGAGGGGGTCGCTGAGACTTGTGGAAGACGTGGCAATGCGAGGTCAATTGGCAAGGCGTTGAGTTCAGTGGTTAAATTATATCTAACACGCCTAAAGGATTCCCAAAGAATCGGAATGACTATTCTGAAGCGGCTTATGAGCGTGCGAGGATGGGATGGTGGTGATGGGTACGGTCGGCCACACTCTCTAAGGATAATGAGACTGATTGGTTAAAATCAGTTACGCTTCAATTCGCTATCAGTATATTCAAACATTTTCTTTATATCTTAAGTCAACAACAGGGCCAATGCCCGCCCTCTAGCTAGAGTAAGGCTTTCCCTTCTTAAGAGTCTCAAGAACAGCAACACTAAGGTTAGGAAGCTTAAAGTTGAAGGCACCCTTTCCATCAGCCTTGAGAACAGTCTTCTTAGTATCAACAACATTGTTACCCTTGTGAGGATCGTTGAACGCAAAAGGATCTTTCTCCTTGTTGGTCAGAAGAGTAAGCTCGGCCTGAGCACCGGGTTTGACACCCTCGAAGGACAGAGAGACAGGAACGTCAGCGCCCTTGGTGGTGTTGTACGCAGCACCCTTCCAGATAAGAGTTCCCTTGTCCTCGTTCTTGCCAGCGACGTAGTAGAGAGGGTCGAAGTTGGAGGTGGCAGGGAGGGTATGTGTCATAGGGTGTCCGGCGAAGAGGGACCAGACGTACCAACTGGTAGAGCGGGTGGTCATGGCAGAATCGGCGGCAAATTGGATCATGGTGATAGACCACTGCCAGCGGTTCTCGTTCTTAAGGATAGGAGCGTAGAAAGTTCCGGGGATGCGATCAGCGTTGCGCTCATAGCCGCAGAGAGCGACGGCCTCGCCGACACCAGAGATCCACCAGGGATAAGGCATCAAATTGCCACTCCAGCCAGTGCCACCGTTGGGGTGAGTAGAAGCCACCTCGCCAATGATATGGCCGTACTTGTTGTTATCAAACAGGTTGAACTCCTCAACTAGAGCATTAGGCTCGCGGTAAGGATGGTAGTCGCCGATTCCAGGAGCAGGAATGTCAAAACCAGCATTCTCCTTGTCACCAACGGGGTCAAAAGAAGCGCCGGAGGAGATTACGGTGAGATCAGGGTGAGCCTTCTTAATGGCATCGAGGAACATGGGGAAGCGGTACTCCTTGTAAGAGTTCCAGCCGGTGGGGTAGCCAGCGAGCCAATCCTCGTTTCCGATTTCAACGTATGAGAGTCTGAAAGGCTTGGGGTGGCCGAGCTCAGCACGCTTCTTGCCCCACTTTGAAGTGACAGGACCTCGAATGAATTCGATCTCGTCGAGGGCGTCGTCGATGAGAGGCTGGAGTTGGTCCTTGGGAGTGACGGAGCCATCGAGGGAGAGACCAGCATAGACACCGACAACTAAAAGTCGTTAGCACTAGCTCAATGAGTTGGAAGAATATGAGACTCACTGATTTCGAGATTCATGTCCTCAGCCCACTGAAGGTACTCCAAGATTCCAAGACCGTGTGTCTGCTGGTAGTTCCAGACACCTTCGAAACCAGGACGGTTGCGAAGAGGTCCGAGGGTATCCTTCCAGTCCCACCAGGTCTTGTTGGTGTTGCCCTCGAGCATGTTACCACCAGGGAAGCGCAGCAGGCTCTTTTCTGCATGTCAGCGACTACTCGCGAGAGACGTGAGACGGTGAACTTACGGGGTGGAGACCTTCGAGAGCCTCAGCAAGGTCAACTCGAAGACCGTTCTTGCGGCCCTTGTAGGTAGGAGGGAACAAGCTGATGAGGTTGAAGTCGAGGGCTCCATCAGCACCCTACTATTTGTCAGTATATGTCACGTCTCTGTTTTGATTGTAACTCACCTTGGGATCATAGGTAATAGCAAAAGTGTTGTTGCTGTTAGGAGCGTTCTTGTTAGGAGTAAGCACAAACTCATGCTCAACCCACTGCTTCTTGTTGGCCTTGGACTTGACCTTGACGCTGCCAAAGACATCGTCGGTAAGGTCAGATCGCAGAGAAGCAGTAAATTGCCCCTTGTAAGCACCCTTGACCCAGAAGGAGCCAGTGTACTTCTGCTTCTTGACATCCATTCCCCAGTACCCCTCGTTGAGGAAACCAATCTCCTTGGACTTGCCCTTTCCAGGCTTGACGTTCATGGAAACGGGGAGAGCGTCGGAAAGAGGGGTGTCGAGACGGTTGAGGGAGAGCGTAGCATCGTTGATAGATCTCCAGCCAGACAGAGAAACAGGGTATTTCTTGCTGTACTGGAAAGCTCGGTTGCGGATGAGTTCAGCGTAGATGCCGCCATCACCGGAGTTGTTAATATCCTAGTCCAAGTTAGCATCCCAATCATCATCAGCGCTGAGTCAAGACCAACCTCGTGAAGGAAGCCATATTGGTGACCGCTAGTGGCGTTTCCGCCCTTGCTATCCACCTTGATGTCGACAGACTCAACAGCCACGAAGCAAGCCGCAGCCGCAAGGATTGAACTGAAGAGAACCATGATGTCAAATCTCGACCTTGCCTTGCAGATGAGGTGAGATTTTCAGAAACTCCGACGCTGCTACGGTCTTATATATAGCTATCCTTCAATTCAGGCACAAACCTGCACAATTCAACCGGCTTAACCAACCCCATTCCGTTCCTGCAGGAAACAAGCGGTCCAATAATTGACAAGATAAGCTTCTCCGCACTTTGACGATCGTATCATGGTCACTGCCGAGAGAGCCATTAACACCAATAACTTTACCCGAACGCGGGGGGACGATCGTGAAAAAACGGTTAAATTCTGGGGGTGATCATGACGTTTACTAAATCTGTCGATCATGGCTTGTTTTGGAGTTGGGGTAAAAAGCTCCAATTGAACAGGGGTTTGAGGGGAAGAGGGAAATGATTCGTGCGCATGGTAGAGCTTGTGTGGACCTGAGTCGTATTTTGTCGTGATCTTCATGATTGACTCGGTGTAGCTCACCAAAACTAGCTTAGCTTTTCCGATTGACAATTTCTTCAAATTCATCCACGAATTAACGCGATAAATTACAAGGGGCCAAGGGATGTTCACATGATGAGAGACCGGATAAATGTCACTTGGCTGGTGAATAACAAGCGAATCCATATCATGTCATGTCATAATCATACTAGCATTCTGCTTTCTATCGCTATTTCGTAAACATAAACAATTGCTTCCATTTCTTTCCCAATTACTCTTCGCTTTGCTCCAAGTGATCAGCCTTTTCCTTGCTTGCGAGGAATTGCTGAGGAGTGTTGCGAGGTCGAGTCTTTGCAAACTTGACTGTTGAGAACACAGAGGGCGATTCCTTGAAGATGAGCTCGATCTCTTCGAGGTTGCGACCCATGGTTTCAGGGAAGAACAGGAAGACCGAGATGGGAACGCATGCGGCGATGACGGCGTACACAATGTAGTACTGCCAGCCGATACTCTCGAGAGCGACGGGTGTGACCATGACGACAATGAAGTTCCTACTAATGTTAATATTTGCGGTTATAGGGATGAGCTGGGTTAACATACCAAAGCCAGTGATTACCGGTCGAGATGGAAGACATGGCCATTCGGAGACGAATGGGAGCAACCTCAGTACAGTACAAGAAGTTGGCGCCAAGGAAACCGATGGGAACGAAAGTGTTGTAAAGGTAAATGAAGCAACCAGCAGCAATCATGGCAGGCTTGTTCTCACTGCCGAAAGAGGTGGTGATGGCGAGAGCGATCATGCACGCCGACATACCAATACCGCTGATCATGAAGACGGCACGACGACCGAAACGATCGATGGTGAAGAAGGCGATGAAAGACGCGAGGAACTTCCAAGTGAGAGCTCCTCCGGTAAGAATCTTGGCTGTCTCGGCGCTCATACCCAGGTTCTTCTGGAAGAGAACGTTGGCGTAGACACTGACGAGGTTGGAACCACTCATCTGCTGGTAGAACTGCAGAAGAATGCAGAGGATGAAGCGGTACAGGAGCTTATCCTCACCCATCTTGAGCATATCGCCCAGACGAGCAGCGTTATCGGAGGTCTCTTCGAGGGAGTGCTCAATGCCAGCAACTTCAGCGAGAACCTCTGTGGAATCGATGGGAAGACCCCGAAGGGCAGCGACAGCGTGACGGGCCTCCTCAGATCGGTTCTTGAGGACGAGCCATCGAGGGCTCTCGGGGAAGAAATAAATGCTAGCCATGAGGATGAGGGAGAAGGCGATGGCAATGGCAATCGGGGGTCTCCAGGTAACAGGGCCATGGTGAAACTCGAAGAAACCAAGGTTGATCCATGACTCGAGGACGTAACCAAGGCAGATGAAAAGACCCGTCAACACAACCTGACGACCACGGTTCACGGCCGCCGACGTCTCACTCTGCCAAACCGGCACAATCGAACTAAGCTGTCCAATACCCAGACCAATAATGACACGCCCAACAATGAACTGCGCCAGTCCAAAAGACGAAGCCTCGAGGATCTCTCCAATCAAGGAGCAAATCGCCGCCGCAAAGATGACATTTCTGCGTCCAAACTTATCACCCGTATACGAGCAACTCAACGAGCCAATCAGCGCACCAATGACAAATGTCGCGACAACAAAGCCCTGAAGCGTTGATTTGGAGCTCTTGTCTGCGCCGGTAGAGTTGACGGTGTCGATCTCGGGGAAGGTCTTGACCCAGTCTTCTTCGGAGAGGAGACCGCCAATGCCAGCTTGGTTGTAGCCGAAGAGGACGAAGGAGGGAGCGACGATGGCGGCGATTTGGAGGATGGCGAGGGACTTGCCGCTGACGCCCATGTATGTTGGCACGCTCATCTTGGTCAAAATGTCTTCAAGAAGCAGAAAGTTGGAGACAAGTTGGAGAATCGCCCTGGGTTGGAGATTGGGATTGGAGTAATGAAACAGGCTCGTCTCTAGGTTTTATACCAATCTCATCGTCGAGACTAGAGACTCCAGATTTCTGCGGAGCCCCATGGAGAAGCAGGAAAAAACCCCTCGTATGTGGGGATAAGATTTAGTTGATCCAAGCTCGATTGTAACAGTGAGAAGAATAACATGAGATTATTTTTCTTGCCATGGCATCTTTCTCACGGTGAGGTTTTGGGGTCATCGGATAAAACGGCACGGTCTCTTTTCGGAGGTGCCATGTCAACTGTGGATATCGGGTCTCGCGAAATGGGTCCTTGCGCTCCGCAGTCGTCATAGCCCGCGAGTCAGAGGATGCAAAATCTCGCAGCGATAAGGCTCGGGGTAACTGCAATAGGTATTCCTTATCGCCAAGCTATGAGGCTCATGCACGGCATTGGATGGCAGCGGGTCCGGTAGAGGCTTGCTACCCCTGGTCGCGAACGGCAAAAACGGCACTTTCAAGATGCTAGCATCTCGTTGCCTACGGGAGATTGCGGAGTCTGGTGGTATCATTTGCATCGTCTAGAACCTTTTAATCGACGCTGATTAAGTGATTAAGCTTCAAATAGTCTTCGGAGTTCAGATTTGAAAGGATGCAGGCCGGAAAGTTTACTCGCAGACGTTCCCGGACTTGGGCGATTCGAATCGTTCTAGAAAATTTCTAGGGGAGAAGCACTGTCGATCTTCTGTTCCGTGGCGCTCTCGGCCGATCCGTTGTCCGGTATTTGAACGCTTATGTAAGATCAACGAATGATGTCTTTCAATCGAGGGTTTGAATCAGTTGATTTCAGTGCGTTACCAATTGTCAATGTAGTAAAGAGTATGTAATAGAGAGTATGTAAAATTGACGAGAGATATCGGGGAACTTGATATCTCTGACCAATTACAGTAGTATCATTTATAAAATTGTGGAAAAGACCCTTTGTTCATCTTACCTCCACGGGGAATCTCAAACTAAAAGTAAATACTCCGTTATGGATATTTCAATCTACCCCATATCACTTGCTCAACAAAAAATCTCTTAATGCTTTGTTGATCCACAATCGTGAGATGACTCCAGTTTAGATGACTCGGGTATAACTTGGAAATCTGGAGCCTCAAGGAAGCCCCCACGGCCCACAAACAGGCTCAACGTTACATATGCTGAATAATATCAACGGTCAATCGACTCATTACTTTATAAGAACGGTGCCTGCCAGGGAAAGAGGTCCGGTTTTGTTCGTGAGATGTGATGAGCTTGGACCCTTGATGTGACCGCAAGATTCGTGTATTACATATCGGTGCGATAGCCCACATCACGAGGTGAGGCTGGGAGCAGATGTGGTGTTTTTGTGCGACCGAGAATATCGCCTATACATATCCGAGTCGCTGCACTGATAAGAACCTCGACTTTGCATAGATTGAGGTTGTTCTTCGGTGGCATTAGCGGATGCGAATAGTATGATGAAGATGGAGTTCGGACATTAACATAGTATCTCCGTTAGTTGATGAACTGGCCTGATAAAGTTGGCAAGTGAGTGTGAATTTAAGTCGAGACCTGAAAAGATTGAACTGAGGCTTTGATGATGTTTGATGATAGCTTTGATAATGCTGAACCAACGTGTAAAATCTGCAAAATGCGGGGACCAAAGAGCGTGAGAGATCTGAGTTTATGGTTGCGAATAAGCATAGATCATCTTGGTTAAACCCCAGACAGACCCCTTAAAGCAGCACAAGGTCATAAGACAGAATTGATTGAGATGAGCTGGAAAATGACATCTGCCAGCATCTCCTACCCTGAAGCATTTCCAACCCAGACAAAAGCCGTTCTTATCGTTATCGATTGCGATTGCTTATCGATTGGGTGGATGGCTGGGATGTGGCGCTCAATTGCTGTGTTAAGCCACAATTGCAATAACCGATTGCTCCCCAGGTTGAATCAACTTTGGCAACACGACACCAAAAGGCGTTAGAAAGGTATCTGAAGTTGACAATAATTATGATGAATATTATGAAGCGAAACAAATGGAAAGAGGGAAGTGGAAATGCGAGAAATGTCAGAAGACTCGAAAGGTTGACGTTGCAGAGCAGTCGTCGGCATCCGCGGACCTTTGCACCAATGGCCTATTGTCCGGCTCTCTAAGGGTACTGTAAATATGTGTCACACAGGTACTCTGGAAGCCTTTTTCGATTATACAAGAATGAATTTTTAATACGAATTCTCCAAGGTTTCTTCTTTGCCAGTATCTTCAACCCGCGCATGTTAGAGCAGCTTTGATCTGGAGTAAATCCCATGGACCTTAATCACGGTAAAAAATAATGCAAAAATTGGAGGAAAATTCTATATGCACGGATTCGTCGCAATGGCAACGATATAAAGCAATGTGAAAGCTTGGCAGCTAATATAAGTCCAGGAAGTTGACAGTGCCCGCGGGTAGCGAAGCTCCGGTCCCCGCGGGCCTCCTCATTCCCCAAGATATCAGCTGAACTGCCTATGCTTCTTTGGACTTAAACAATCCATCCCAAGAACCAGTTGGAATAGAATATATTTTCTTTTTCGATAACCTTTAGCTCTTCGTTTACCGAGGCGCCGAGGCATCTTTTTTAAAGTTTGCGGGGTAGCGCCAGAATCTTTGAAGCTTTACCCATCTCAAGCGATCGCTGAAGATCAATTAAAGTCAATCACGCTCCGATCCTAGATTCATGAAACTTGATCCTCTCTCGATTTGTTCACATCAGCGCATCTATCACAATGCCTTCCATATCAGCCTCAGTAGTCTCACTCATCATAAAATGGTTTCTCCAGAACAAGGCCGTCCAGGAAGATGAAGAGGCGACGCGCCATAACATTCGCGACACCTACATCCGACCGCAAGACCATCGCCCTCCCAGCAATCTCGGCTCAAACATCACCATTGATCGCGTTGATGTGCAGGAATGGCCTTTATACAAGATATCCACCAAGAATTCTCAGAGTAAGAGTCAGCAGCGCAAAGCCCTTCTTTACATCCACGGCGGATCGTTCTTTAAGGAAATCTATCCCCAGCACTGGAAATTCGCCGCGCAGATTGCGAGTGAGACAGACCTGGACGTCTTGATACCGATTTATCCGCTGGTCCCAAGGCCAGTGGCTACAGCGCAGAAGCTCGCCGATGGGTTTGTTGATATCTGTCGTTTGTCAAAGCAGCCCATCGTGAGCATAGCGGGTGATTCAGCAGGCGGGACGCTTGCTCTATCAACTACGCTCCACCTACGAGACACAGCGCCTGAACTATTCGCGAAAGTGCGCTCGTTGATTCTAATAGCGCCTCTTCTTGATTGTGCAGTCGATCATCCTGAAGCACTACGTCTCGCCAAGATCGATTTCTGGCTCGGTGTAACTGGTCTTCGCATCTCAGGGAAGATGTTTGCAGGAGATTTGCCGATCAAACATCCCCTTGTTAGTCCGCTATACGGCGATATGGATAAGCTCCCACCATTGCTGATGTTTGGTGGTCCGAGGGATTTGCTCTGTGCTGATGCTAGACGGCTGAAATCCAAGTTGCTAGGCAAAGACGTGGATGAGGCTCCGGCGGGGAGTGTGGAGACGGATCGGCTTGTGTATGTTGAGAAGGAGGGTATGCTTCATGTCTGGCCTTTACTTCCGCATAGTGAGGGTGCTGAGGGGCGAAAGATGATTAGTTCTTTTGTTAATAAGCATTTAGAGCGATAGATATTTGCCGAAACCTTGTGGAAATGGCCAAGATATTCAGTCGCCAAGCTTTCTAGCCAATATTATAAAGTCACATCCGAAAGTCCTTTTGGCAGAAGCCCATAAGCGGGGACTCATACCCGCATAACCGGCTGTGCGTTTAGTATCACGTGTTTTTCGTATAACCGGTTATGTAGATAAGGCCATGTAAGCTTCTTTAGTTAAATCTGCATAACTAGGGGACTATTAGTTAATTTATCTTCCTATTATATTTATATTACTAATAAAGTAATTACTAACTTTCTGCTTTATAATTTAACTTTATCTATATAATTAGTATTTAAATAAGTAATATTAAGCTCTTAGTCCCTTCTACTACTAATAAATTAGTAAGATAATAGCCTAATAATATTCTTCCCCTAGAGGCATTATATCTATTATAAGAAGCCCTCCTTATAGATATTAATAAGTAGGTAAAGGCTTAAGGATATGCCTTTATAATAAGGCATATAATATATATGGCAAATAGAAGACTGCATATATACTTTAGCTATAATTATAGCAGAGGTAAATATATACTAATTCCTGATTCTAAGAGGAAGAGGAAGTATATTACTTAATGCATAGGGTGTAAGTTCTCTGTAATAGGAAAAGAGAGCCTTTATAAGAGTAAATAGAGTCTTTAATATTATCCTAATCCCTCTTATTCTTGTTATAATTATAAGCCTACTATTAGAAGTAGTATTATATATATAACTTACTAAAAGCTCTCTAATAAAGATATCCTTATGGTTAAAAAGCTTACTCTTACCGGCATTAAATAATACTAAATTAAGACCTACCTACTGCAGAATATAAAGGCATTATTTATTAACTTAAATCTTGCGAATTATATCTCTTAAGTAAAGTAAGACCTTGCTAATAGATAGAGCTATATAGTTGCTCTGCTTTAATATCTTGATTTATAGGGCTTCTAGAGTTATTACCTTATTAGAAAGGACTCTTAACTGCAGTTAGTTATATTTATTTATTTAGAATTACTCTAATTTACTAGGTTATACCCTAAGGTACTTATAGTTAATTATACCTATAAGACTAATAAGTATAAGATGCCTCTTCTTAATATGGTTAGTATTAATACTATAGGGAGTACTTTCTATATTATATTTATATATCTTAGTGGCAAGGAAGAGGAGGATTTTACCTAGGCTCTTAGGGCGTTATAAGATTTATATAATACTAATAATATTCCTTATCCTTTAGTTATACTAACTAATTAATATCTTACTTATATAAATACTATTATATCCCTTCTCTGCTTTCTAGTATTAAAGGTTATACTTTGCCTTTAGTATATTAATAGAGTAGTCTTAACCTTCTATATAAGTAGCTTTATAAAGGGCAAGGATAATAAAGAGGGATAAGAGGTATAAAAGGAATTCTATAATAATTAGTATATGCTTATAGCCTTAAAGTTATAGGCTATATATAATAAGAGACTAAAGGTCTTTCTGCTTTAGTATACTTATTTATATTTAAAGGAGGTAAATTATCTTTTTTTAACCTGGCTAAACCCTTATAAGGGTAAGTTTATTAAGGTATTTATAAATAAGTATTTATATTTAAACTAATTTATTATATCTTAAGTAGAAGGTATTTATTTCCTACTTAAGTCTTATTTAAAAAGCTCTAAGGCTAACCTCTTTAAGGCTTTCTAAATTATTAAGCTAGTAATTATAAACTAGCTAATTATACTAAAATCTGCATAGGCTCTCAAATAAGCAATAAGACCTACTTGGCATACTTAGATATTATTAGGAGCTTTATATAGCCAAGTCTGCAGTTAGATATTTTATAAGGTATTAATTATAGTTAATCTGTAGTAAGAATAAATAGGAGAGAGTCTCCCTTAATATACTAGGAGTTTCTTAAAGACTATAAGTATACCTTATGCTTATGCCCTTATGCTATTAATCTAGGGAAACAAGCCCTTATTAATAAGCTATTTCTATTTATATTAGTATCTCTAGTAATCTAGGATGCTGCTGCTAATATTTAAGCCCTATAAGATTAATAATTACTATATAGCCTTAAAGTTATAGCTAGTATTAAGTATATGGCGAGATTTATATGTATTTAAAGGAGTTAAAAAGGCACTACTTCCCTTAGTGCCTAAGAAGCTATAAACCTACTCTTAATATTATAAGTAAGGTTATAATAGAAACTTAAGGCTATGCCCTAAGAAGTATATTAAAATGGCAGCAGAGCTTAATAATATAGAGAGAGAATAAGATCTTATTATAAAGGAGGTTATAGTTATAGATATATAAAGTAGGTCTATATCTCCTGCTACTACTGCAGCCTTAATACTATAGATAACCCTAACCCTGACTTACTACTACCTTTAAGAGCCTATATATTAAGTATATATAAAGTATAAGGAATCTCGTAAGGCGTGGTTTAATTAGTAGCCCCCTAGTACCTCTCTTACTAACTATACCTTCAGAGAAGCTATTAGACTGCCTTTAGAGTATAATGCAGTTAGGTATCGGTAGTGCCAGAGGTTAGAGCAGATAGGGCCCTTTATTAAGCTTTATAATAGCTTTAAACTAAGAGATTAGATATTAGAGGAGATATATAGCTGGCTTAATAATAATAATAGATCTAATAATAATACTAATTAACTAGAAATACAGCTTTTAGGAGTAGAAGGCCCTAGCTATATATCCTAGCAAGGACCTGCAAGTTATATATTATTACGGCTATAGCAAGGAGGCAATCTGATTTTCTCGGCGAGATAATTAAGCAGTTAGGCAGCCTAATGCTAAATAAGATATAGAGGGATAACAGTTAATTAGGAGCTATATATAAATAGAGCAAATTTCAGCAAATTTAATAATATAATTATTATCACTTAATAGTAGCTCTTTGCAATTAAAGTGCCTTTTTTTATTTCATAGTATTTATAATAATCAAGAGTCAGTAAAGTCAGAGTACGTAAAATTATCAATCCTTGCAAATTAATTATCCTAGTTAGAATACCTATACTTATAACCAGCTACTTGCGCCTAAGAAGGATAATATATATATTATTAAATTAAGAGAAAAAAGCTAAATTAATTAATATATATCTTAATACCTTAATCTGCTAAATTCTAATATTATTAGTAAGTAAGAAGATAGTATAGGGTTAGATATAGAGAATTAAATCACATATATACAAGTAGATAGATTAAATAAAGGAATTATATATTTCTCTTTAAGCAGATTATAACCTTAACAGAGCAGATAACATTAATACAGCAAGAGATTTAAACTGGCATATATACTACTAAATATATATAAGAAAGTAACCCTAAATATCCTTAATTCCCCCTACTATCTGCCTATCTAAGTCTATATAATATGCCCTTATAGATTAACC